ACATTGAACGTCACTCGGCCCTGAATTTAAAATAAGTGGTGAAAATAGGACGGGGAGTTCGGCCGCTTATGAAATTCGCGGGCCTGACGTCGGGTTTTGGCGAGGCCTAGTCCCAGCTATTGAATGCGCGGCTAGTTTACCCAGCCAATCGCATGACTTTTAATAACCCAAATTCTCTGCAAAACTTCTGCCACATTCTACCAGCCAGCCAATAGCATTTCAAATAGGGCGCTATCAGGACTCTTCAACCACCTACTGTAGATGGCTCATGTGGACTTTCTCATATATTCATCCTGGTCGTAATCTACTGGCATTCATTTCCGACCAATGAAATTTAATGGTCCGTACGTAGCACTCAGAGACCAAGCGTCGTCCGTCATTATCCCATCCATAGATTCATTCTCTTTCAGGAAGACCCAGAGACCCATAAAATCAAAATGATCGCTTGAACCCACCCTACCTATTACAGTGGCTAACCATGTTTTCGGGCCTTTGACAATCTGGATAGCGACTCATACTCCAAGAAGAAGTTGCCATCAATGGAACACAATCCTTAAGGTTTCGATTTACGCCACGTGATCCTGACGCTATTGCCCCCATTTTCAACGAAATGAGTCACAGGCGGTGGCATGACATCATGCCGGGCAAAGTATTAGGTGAGAAAGCACCTTTCTATAAACAAAGCAATATGCCACCCGTAACGAATCCGTTCTACAACTCTTTCTGCAATATGCCAGGCGAAAATGAAGCGCACACAGATTTTAAAGTAAGCTTTCTGACAAATTAGTGAGTTACAGGCTTCAGTTAATTATCGAAGCCACCCTTCGACAGAAACACCCTGGCAGTTCGGCGCTACGGCGTTGTTCCTCTCCGAGAGAAGCTATTTTCCGAAGGATCAAAGGTTGAGTTCGGAGTCTAAACAGCTTTCTTGAGTTGGAAGGCTAATATTTCGCAGCACCGTACATACTTTGACTCTGCCGAATTTGTTCTAAAATCTGCACATAACCCATCCTAGATCTCCGAAAGGAACACTGGAACCGAGCGCCCGCAACACGCTAGCATCTCTCAGCCATTTTGCGCCGTGCCTGCCACCAGTAATGTTTGTAAGACGGCGAATAATGGATTTCAGAATACCAGTCACGAATATCAGAATTACCAGAGTCCTCTCCATGAAAACTAGGAGGCCGACTGCAAAAAGACGAATTAGGGTTGGCTGTAAAATGGTAACTGATTTAACATCTGAGAAATAAGATCTAAATCCCAACTCGAGCGAGATACCATAGGAATGGAAATGTTGAGATACGAACGTCAAAAGATCTTTCGTAGAGAGACAAACTCTAGATGTAAAATCATAATAACAAAATAAAGGAGTAATCAGTACTCAAGGCCCACATCCACGTCCGTGCCGAGAGTATCACTGGCGATCTCTTCATAATCCTTTTCCAGAGCAGCCAAGTCCTCGCGAGCCTCGGAGAACTCTCCTTCCTCCATGCCCTCACCTACGTACCAGTGGACAAAAGCACGTTTGGAAAACATGAGGTCAAATTTGTAGTCAAGGCGATGCCATGCCGCGGCGATGGCGGTGGAGTTGGAGATCATGGTAACCGAGCGGTCGACAGAAGCAAGCTCGCTCTCAGGGACGTTCATGGGCTTTTGGTTGTTAATTCCCAGTTTGAAACCGGTTGGACACCACTCAACCAAGTTGAAAGAGGCCTTGGCCTTAATGTGAGCCATAGCTTGGGTACAATCGTGAGGCACGACATCACCTCGGTACAGAAGGGCAACAGCCATGTACTTGCCATTCTGTGGATCGCAAACAACCATCTGGTTTTTAGATTCAAAGCCTGTCAAGTAATTAGTACGAAGCATAGTTGAATTAAATGGAGAGGAGGCACATACACTGTAAGGTTAAGTCTTTGACCTTGAAGCTCTCGTGGCCACTGTGGGTGCTAGATATGACAGGAGCATACGAAATGAGGGGGTAGTGAATTCGCGGAAACGGCACAAGATTTGTCTGAAACTCATTTAAGTCGATATTCAAGGCACCATCGAAGCGCAAGCTGGAAGTAACAGAGCTAACGACTTGGGCCACAAGGCGGTTGAGATGGTCATACCCAGGGCGAGGAATGTCGAGGTTGCGCTTACAGATATCGTACACAGCTTCATTGTCAACGAGGAATGTGCAATCGGAGTTCTCAATAGTATCGTGTGCGGAGAGGACGGCATTGTAGGGTTCCACCACTGCAGTTGCCACACGCGGGGACGGGTAAACCACAAATTCTAGTTTGGTTTTCTTGGAAAATTCGGCAGAAAGGTGCTCGAGCAAGAGTGCACCGAGACCAGAACCTGTTCCGCCGCCAAAGGAATGGAAGAGCAAAAATCCCTGAAGAGAGGTGCAATTATCTGGAAGGAAATTAGTCTACATATCAAAGCCACGAGAGGAAGGATTCCCATATACACACCAGCCACGCGGCGAATCCGGTTTACAACGCCCTCCATGAGCAGTTTGCCAACAGTATAATGACCTCGAGCATCTAATATACATTAGCTTTTTTTGGTATGCGTCTTCAAGATCTCGGGGGGTTGTACAATTATTAGCCGCATCCTCTTTTCCGCTTATCAGCTGATCAGGGTGGAACAGATGGCGGTAGGTACCAGTGCGTATCTCGTCAATGGGCTATAGCGCCGCAATTTCATCAGTCTGAATTTCATTTAAACTTGGTTGCCACTCTTTACGCACCGAAGGGTCAAGGTCGATAAAGATGGAGCGTGGGACGTATTTGCCATTGCCAGTCTCGGTGAAAAATGTCTCATACGAGCCGCTCTGGTCAAGTTCTTGGACATAATCAGGATTGATATGACCATCAGCCAGAAGATTATGCTCGAGCAGATAACTATATCATCAATCAATAGTGAGTCATTGCAGAATGAATTGCAAGAGAATCAAGACTTACAGCTCCCAGGCAGCATTGCCCAGTTGGGTACCAGCCTGGCCTATGTGAAGATGACAGATCTAATGAGTCAGTATATGGGTTTCCATTATTTCCTGTAGGGGTTTGTGTGGCCTTAGATACAATAATGGTATTGAGAGCCACACCGGAATTTTGGGCTGTCCGTATTTTGCGGTTCAAGGCTGGAAAAGAAACAGAAGAGGGCAACACCATTTACATGGAGAACCCTGAGCAGCAATAGGTTGGCACGTACTTCGCCGCGCATTCTGTATGGTCAAAATCCAAAAGGCTGTCGCGTACAGGCAGGCAGATGTGAAATGAAAGGGAGTCGACTTTTTGGGAAACTGAAGTCCAAAATAGGTTAAAGTGGGTCCAATTTGTTATGTTTCTCTCTCCCTTTCAGGTTTAGCGCTAAGGCGTAGTCAGCTGGTGTTGGAGCACGTGTATTTATGGTATTGTACTGTCATCCTGATACGGACTACTCATGCATTAATCTCATATCAATATAAGATATCCATATACGCAAGTACTGAGGGAACCAATTGTCATGATTTCTTGATTGATTGAACTTATCTTGAAAACTGCTGTTGAAGTGTCTCTAGACCTCAGGGGCTAAGGCTTTTCTGAAATGTGAGTATTCCCGAGTTTATCTGGTACATATACCACAAAACATGCGGGGAATTGGGTGGCCGTTGAATTATCCAATCTCTAGTGGTAAAGTACCACCCCCTGGAAGGACATGATGAACCCACCAGAGTAAGACCATGTCCCGCTTTGGGTAGCCGCATGTCGACTTGACCTCCCTCGTATATTACTGGCCCTTCTCTGATTTAGAATGGGGACGAGCTGCGGTGGCCCGGTCAGAAGAAGCAAAGAATGATCAGCTGGATGTTCGGGTCGATGTACGTTCGCGAATCGGAAGTCGTGAAAAGGAGAGCTACTGATAGGTCGGTATGTTGATGCCCAGCTACTTCAAACTATGCTTACAAACGCCCTGAATAGGAATTCTGCATTTCCTGTCCCCCAAAATTCAGGCGAAAAGCCTATCTCTCTTTCTCGCTATCCCTGAATTTGATTCTCATGGCTCAATTTTTGAGCGAGCACAAAGGAATCAGACGGCTTGCCTCTATCGAAGATCTCATTGGTAAGTAATCTAGTAGCAAGAAACTCGTGATGCTAATCTAATTGCGTTGTTAGATTTCTCGGAAAGATTTCTTGTTACCCTTTGGTCTCCTCTAGGAAGGACAGCCCCAAAACCTCAACGGGGTTTCGGGTTTATCTGAAAAATATTCTTCGGAGATCTCATACAACATATCATACACTCATCGCGACGTTTTACTATCTAGCTCTCTTGCGGTTCACGATTAAGCAAAAGTTCCCCACTGAGCCGTTTCAAGTGCCCCAGGAGCTTCAGCCTCTACAGTGTCAGCGGCGGATGTTTCTCGCAGCTCTTATGCTGGGTTGGAAGTTCACTCAGGATTATGTGTACTCGACGCGACGCTGGGCATCCTTCTCGGGTCTAAGTGATAACGAGCTAAATAGAAACGAAGGATTGTTTCTTTCCGTGATTGATTGGCGCCTCTTTATATCGCATGGAATGTTTTCTCACTGGAAGTCAGAGGTTCTGTACTATGTTCAGAATCCAGACGTTGCTTTAGCCAAGTTTACCTTTGCTCAGTGAAAAAACTGTAGACTAATTATAACTACGTGGATGGAAATTTTGGAATATTGGCGTATGGGACATTCTTTTATCACTGAAGTGAAAGATTTAGATCTGAACACTGATATCATCTTTGCGTAAAACCCTGCCTACTATCTACTGAACTTTTTTTCCACGTACCACTATTCTATATCCCAAGAAGTAATTTCAAGATGCCAAATGAAGTACAGTATAGGCGATTTTTACGGCACATTACAGTCGGGGGAGTTTGTACACAATAGTGTTTTATTTCAAGGCGACTTCCCGCCCAATGGGGCCATGGTCCGTCTTGATTGAATCTGGAGTGAACATTTCTTGCCAGTGCTTCATGACTATAATATAGAATTGTATCAACACTTCCATTTGCTTTGGATACCAGGGGCTTTATCAAGACATGCGAAAACATAAACTAGATAATAAATGGTCACCAGAGTGCCGAATATAGCTTTGCTCGTAGCGCCATAATACATGATCTCGTAGTACGGAGTATAGTCCTGGCTTGTAAAGAATTTGAAAGAGGACTGAAAGCCGCGGATTTGACCGGCAAGGTAACCTTCGATGCATAGAAGAGGAAAGCTTAACAAAAGCTGGATGCAGCCGTAAAAGGCCCGAGCCTGACTGTCTTTGCTCAGCAATCTCGGCTGAAAAAGAAGAGCGGTTCCAAAAGTTGAAAGCAAAGCTGAAAGAATTACCACTGCGAGTACTCCACCAGACTTTGTTCATGAGGCGTTTGAATTCTATGTCCAGAATCCAGCCGCTGCCACTAGCTAGGTTATGCGTTGCGCGGTTAAGAAGAAGACTTGCACAATACGTAATTATGGAGATGAGGCTAGCAACAGCTAGCCAAGTGGTGGCAAGAAAGAATGTGGTAATACGCGGGTTTATTTGCACGGCGTTTGAATTATTGGAGAACATGTCAAATCTGCGAGAAAAATCGTTTTGCAGAATCAGAGCCTGGTGTTTCAAAGAGAAATGAGTTGGTGAGGCTCAGGGATATGAGGGAGGTTAAAAATCTTTCGTGAGATCTAGATAGGTAATACGGTACCGACAAGTCACATTTCTGTACCTCATGTAGCAACAGCGGACAGAGATACATTGGGGAACGTTGAAATGGGCCTTTAGCCTTTTCCTCTAATATCGCGGGGTGTTGAAATGATCCCAACAGTGAGTGATCATCCTTTATACACTTGATTGTCAAGAAAAATCAGAAGGGCCTCAAATTCTCATTATCAACCAATCATTGCATTGAAAATTTGTTCGCATGTGGGCCATTGATGGCACTAATTGGCTTATATTTCTGAGTAATAGTACCTACCCGCATCCGCTTCGTTCCCAGGAGATTTATGTGGGTAATATCTTTGTAAAGACGCGGCTTACCTCAGAGGTTTGTTCTACAAACCCGTAATCAAACTAATGACTGGATCGCTGTACAATAAACACTGTTTTGAGATGGGGCTGTGCGAATCAGTCCCGTGCCGTGTCATAGCTTGTATCTACTTGATATTGTGTAGGTGTGATGGATTGTCTCCGATAAGCGAGGTGGGTGACGAATAACCCTGCGGTCTGCCTACCTTTGGTGAGTTGCTGTTGCGTGTACTTACGGGCTCATGGCCGGTGAGTGAAATCAAATGATATGACCTCGTCGCCTCGCCCATCGCAATAAAGGGCGGACTGACGGTGGTAAATGTTGATAACTGTTAATTCTTTTCTGTTGCATTCTCATGACTATTTATACGATGCGAACAGCCAAAAGATGTTTTTTATGTTCCGGATCACCAGGCGCAAAATGCAATGCCTCTGAGAACTGCTTTGAGCCAGTGATGAAATGTTGAGCCAGTTATTCATTGAAGAGTAGTTTGAGCTTGAGCCCTTGTAATTCACAATTATGATCTCATTGATGCAGACCGAGTGCCTGGCTAAGTGGCTATAAATACCCGGTCATTCGCCAGCCGAATGGTCCTTCGCAAGCATTCCTTTGTCACCCCGGGTCAAAGAATAGCGAACTCTTTTTGTTTCAGCGGCTACTATTTGGTATGTTGGCTTCAAAATCTTGTAACGAAGTTGACTGACTTGTTGCATCACACTAGCCTGGCTTTTCTCGACACAAAAGGTCTTTGAACAGCAAGTGAGTGTAGCTGCCCAGTCAAAAGGCACGCATGAGTGGCAATGATGCCACAGTATGAGCCTACATAATCAGGAGCATTGGACGCAGTCAACCGTATACCGGTTGATATTTGGAATGTTCTTGTGAAGTGTCCGTCCAAGCCGGAAATTGTACGCTCGGACTACCAAAGGACTCCTGATTCGATCATCCATCGGGTTCCGACGAGGATTCTGTCGTGACGCCCTACCACGGACTTCGCTCGCCAACCACCCAATCTTCCATGGCCAGCCATTCACTCCACTGCACCTCGGCTGCTTGGATCTCTTGCTCAGAGGGGTTGCGTAGCGGCCGTAGAAAGGGAGTTTGCTCGTCGGGCTCCCGATATCGTAAGCAGCCTTTGTGGATACCCACCCGCCACTTTTGGCCATTAAGAGATAAATCAATCGCTCTTCCTTAAGGATGCCGCTCACACCAGGGTCACAAGCATCACCGAAGAAAGCCAACAAAATACTTGGCTAGTCTTGCGCCGTGACAATGAGTCGTCGAATATACGGTCTCAGCGGAAAGAACGGCGGTGTTGTAACATATGGACCCGATGAGATGTCGACGCGAGATAGCCGTTGGTAAGGCAGCCGAATATTAATTAACGCGGCTAGCGATTGTACCACTGGTGTGTATTGACCGTGTTCCAATAAATACTGCAGACAGCTGTTATAAGGTGTGATCCAGAGCGTGGAAACAATTGTTTCAAATTCGCCATCTCGAGAGATTGGATGTGATTCGGGGCTCCTGCTGGAGAACGGTTCAGATTCACGCTCATAGGATGCAGCTTCATGACAAATATTTCCAAATAAGCGAGCCGTTTGACAAGATAACGGAGGCAAATGTTAGTGGAAGGGTAAAGAAACCAACAGGGGGTGGTTGGAGTGGGAAGAGATTCCCGGCTTTTTCTTTGCATTTTTATGTGGCTGGTTCGCGACATATGTGGGTGGACAAAGACAAACTTTGAATACCGCAATTTCTTCGTGAAGGGTTCGGCGCAATTTAAGGTATACTGTACATTTTACCCCAATAGGGATAGCGGTGGCGATTTCAGCTCAGTGGAGCCGGACTCCAACGGAACTTGCAGTTTGCTGGGGTCAAAGCTACACTGGCCGTCAAATCTTCGCATGACAACCATTTCGGAACCCGAAATGATGGGGAAAATATTGCAGATCGAGGCCCGCAGCAGAGACACTGAGCAAACCATGCATGGCCGATGGCCTGTTTTCCCATGGGAGGATTTTTGACAAGATCCTGGTAAGATATAGAACGGTGAGCTCTGAATGGCCAGTGCCATCAGTCCCCACAGTTTTTATGCCTCATGCAGAACTAAGTTAATAGTGCCGTATTTGACTCACCGCTTCGGTTGTCGGGTCCCCAAGCTCAAACGGGGTTTTCAAGCCTAACGATCCATTTGGTACTACTGTAATATCGACGTCAACTGGTTACATTCAACTCGGCTTTCCACTCCCCGAACATGTCTCTCAGTGAACGCTTACTGAACCTTTCTATGGATGACACAGTTGCCCCAGATGTTGAGGATCATCGCCACAGCGCCTCAAGAGATACGAGAGCAGGGCCAGCCGAATCTCACTGTCTCTCGAATGATGGGCTTGGTACAAAGACGAGATCATTTACTGAGCGGATATCCGCCGATTTGAGTCCTATTTATCGCTACACTCCCATTCCTACACTGATCCTCAACCAGGATCTGTTCGTTGTGGAGGTTTCAGATAGTCATTGTACATTTTCAGGTCAATTTAGGGAAGACGTATTGGGTACTAGCGCAAGCGACCTTCCGGCCTATTCTATCCCTGCGCCAGACACCCTTTCTCTCTACGGCGCCCTTAGCGCAGCCATCTCTTCAAAGAAAACTCAGATGATCGAGAACATACGCATTGAGAACTCAACATCCGCTTATCAGCTTCGCGTCACGCCGATATTCAAAGATTCAGCTTTGATTTATGTTGTCTTGGAAGCTCAGAATACCTCAGAGGATCACTGCGAAACGTCTGATGAACACCACGCTTACGTGAACGAAACGTACAGAATTCTGGTCAATACTGTTCAAGATTATGCCATATTTATGCTCGATACTCATGGCCAAATCACTACCTGGAATCGTGGCGCTGAATTGCTCAAGGGATACACTCCCTCGGAAATCATTGGAAAACACTTCTCATTATTCTACAGTCCCGATGACCGTAGCGCAGATAAGCCAGCTAAGGGGCTCGCCTTGGCTCTGCAAAATGGCCGGATGGAAGCTGAGGGCTGGCGGTATCGACGAGATGGATCTCGATTTTGGGCTAACGTTATGATTACCCCAATCCATCAGTTTGGCCAACATGTTGGATTTGTCAAGGTGACGCGTGACTTGACGGAACGCAAGGCGGCGGAAACCCGTATGATCGCAGCCTTTGAGGAGTCATCCAAGATGAAAACCGATTTTCTTGCAAATATGAGTCATGAGATTCGAACCCCAATGAACGGCATGCAGCTCGCTCTCACATTGTTGAAAGACACCGAGCTCACGAAGCAGCAGCTGGAGTATACATCCATCATTGAGGACTCGACGACAACTTTACTCCAGATCATTAATAACGTGCTTGATTACTCGAAGCTCTCCTCTGGATCTTTTTCCATCATTTCTGATATCGTGGATATCAAAAGTATTGTCGGCGCTGTTATGCGTAACTGCCGGTCTCTCTTGAGACCAGAAGTCGAGCTGGTCTTGTCGACCCCGGCAGATTTTCCACAAGCATTGCGAGGCGATCCCCTGCGATATCGCCAGGTTGTACAGAACATGCTGGGCAACGCCGTCAAGTTCACGGATTCTGGTCATATTCGAATATCTCTATCATATGCGCCTGACGAATCTGACTCCCAGGCATACACTGTCAGGACTGAAATCGAAGACACGGGCCTTGGAGTTCCTAGTTCTGCTCTTAACACCCTTTTTACGCCTTTCACGCGTTATGCGGATTCCGCATCCAAGAGATACCAAGGGACAGGCCTTGGGCTTTCTATTTGCAAGAGCTTGGCGGAACTTATGGACGGCATGGTGGGCTATCGGCCAGGCCTTCATGGAAAAGGCAGCGTGTTTTGGTTCACAGCCAGAATGGGCGCCATCGACTCAGTGTCATCAAATGAGAAACGCGAAACATCGTCCACGGATACACTGACAAATTTTATGGACAAATTACGGGAAATCGCCCCGCAGAGGCACATTTTGATGGTCGAGGACAATCTTGTTAACAGCACCGTGATGCTTAAGCTTCTTCAAAGCATAGGTTTTGAGCGTGTCGATCTAGCCTGGAACGGTGCGGAAGCTGTACGGCTAGTTAAGCAAAAACCGTTGACATACAGCATTGTCCTTATGGATATCAGTATGCCAGTCATGGATGGTTTGGAAGCCACCTCATGTATTCGGGAAATGAACAATAACATGCCGATTCTGGCGCTTACGGCTAATGCACTGAAGGGCGACTGCGAGACATATCTTGCTCGGGGAATGAATGACTATATCGGGAAACCTGTGCACAGGGATCAGTTGGTGCGCGTGCTTTGGAAATGGATAGGGACTGATTGAAGGTATTGCCGGATACGCCGGTGCAGACCAAGACCAAGCTGGTTCTCACTCGAGATGCATTATCAGTGATATACGGGTAGCTCGTCGACCACAAGGCGCGACTGTCCCTGAGAGGGCATTCACATAGCGACAATCGATATTGCGCAACGTAAACTGACCGGGATAATATGCCCCTCGAGGGTTAGACGTACACAGCCGGATTCCAGATCCTGATGGTCTTATCATCCGATGCTGGTGCGAGTCGACTTCCAACTGGCGACCAGGCAATCGGCCCGACCCACCTGCTATGCCCCTCGAGGATTTGAAGACATAAACTCCAGTTTTCATCTAGCACTGGGCTGTTCAAACTACCACCTTAGATCCCCGCCTTTTTCAACATGGCTTATAGGGCGTCTTAGGTGATGAGCTTTAAGTGGATAATGCTTCTTTGCCATCGGGTCCACCCAACAATGAGGCCCGTGCGGACATTTAAATGAGTCACCTCGCATCAAATAATAAACGCTGTGCCAGATCGGCTTCTTTTCTGAGGTTTTTTCCTCCGCATCAAACCGTGCGTCTCGCTCACCGATCATCCTCTGCGTGACGGATGATTTCCCTCTTTTCTTCCCTTCCCGAATGGTGGACTGAGAAGAATGATGATTGTCTACATAGTTGAAACTGTTCTTCAGCGTAAGTTCCTTACCTTTCGAGAAGATATCGGACCATATCAGAAGCTGTTTCTCGATAGCCGTCCAAGTAATATCAGTGTCATCAAATCCCTTAGTCAGTTTGCGTTTAGTGCGATGGCTTGTTGATGCGACAAGGTCAGTATCATCAGATGTCATCCGGCGATGGCGGACGGTTTTCCGTCGAAGCGCTTTCTCTAGCTTTTTTACCAACGGCAGCTGCCAGAAGGCACTGGGAGCCGAAGCGACATCTTCCTCAGTGTTTATTCATACTTCTCGACTATTGACTGTCACTCGCCACCCTATGCGGTAGTGGATACAGGTTGGGGGTTCCTCATCATACACCCTTCCCTCTTCCCGCTCGTGCAACGGAGGGAATCGGAGAGGATATGGACCACATTTACTCTTGGGGTCGAGGCTATTTTCAAGTATACAGGACCGAGATGGGCTCAAGACTGACGGCGTTGGTGCTTAATCCTAGTTGTGTTCCCATGCTTCATGTTGAATAGATTGAGATATATAATTGACGTGATATGGGCTCATCTACAGTAATTAGAATCCTTGGAACGCCCATGTTAACTTACGGGATGACCCATTTCAGATTCGGGAGTGGCAATGAGTGCACGAATGAGATGCGTCGCATAAGGTAAGATCCACAGGGAAGAAAGTAAATATCCTCCCCTACCAGGATTAGCTCTATACAGCGTAAGCACAGCCTTCTGTGATGACTGGCGGACGTACAGCGATACACAATAGGCTGCGCTGCATGCGGGAAGAAAGAGAGGGGGGGACGTGGCAATCCAGGATTAGGACTGGTGGGAAAGCGGAGGGCGGGCAGACGATCTTGCCAGATCGTGATCGTCAGATCTACCAACAATTCTACAGGATTCGATGTATCGTTACAAATTTAATACAGTACGTTGACAATTTGGTCTAGTCATTACCACATCTTTTCTGCCCAACTAAGAGAGCGGTGATACTAAACAGGATTAGCGTATCTCGGAATTATTGTCCGGGCATCAAGTCGAAAGAGTTTGGGGTCAAACTGATTTCGAAAATTACTGTACCCGCTATCCAAAATATTAGAACCATTTCAACAAGAGAGGATACGATGCTATACAATATTCGTTACAGAGGTCCCCAATTTAGTGCGGGCAACTCGGGCACCTTATAAATGAACTGCGCTAAGGCCTTGGCAGTGGGGCCAAAAAGAGTGTCTAAGTGTTCTTGTTGCACCGGTTTCGAGACGTACTGTAACACTGAGTTTAGTGAAACACAGTCCTAATCCAGCCATTCGGGAGAGTCCGATCGAGAAAGTGCATTATAGCTGGCCGGGGACCTCGTCTAGGCCGCGAACAAGGTAAGTTGCGAGCGACCATATTGCACCAGCTGCTGATAGTTGGTGCTAGATTGAATATATACAGCGGCAAAGTGCCTTGCCTGTGTTCTGATGCAGACGGGTCATTTAAAGCTGCCACCATGGCTTATTTACGACTGATCCTGGTAAGTAGATTCTCATAACTAGAATAATTTGGAGGGCAACTTACCAAAGTCAGGTCGCTGGAACCTGATGCTATGCTCAATGCAGCCGCAAGTCGACCGAATGCATCCTTGATGTCACCGCTGAGGGGCACGGACTCGCCGGCAGAAGTAGCCTCGCCAGGCCGGCCAGTTGATTGCCTAGACGGTCACAAAAGCCCAATTCTTATTTGAAAGATGCAGGTCGGTTTGTGATATATGGTGAAGAAGACAAACTCATTGACATCGAACGTAGCCGCTGATGTTAATCTCAGTGTGGGCGTGGCACGTGTGTTTTACGCGACGCGCAAGTGCACCCAGCCCTTTGCCCCTCGTAGCATGCGTCTAGTGCAGCAGGTCCTCGATAGCCATCAATTTCACTACCGCCGGTTGCTGACTCTGGCGGGAACGTCAATCGAGTTCGCAAATATGGTTTAGCCATTCTTAATTGCAAAGGGTAAAAATCAATCCGCAGAGCGAAAACCCGGGAAATAATCCGGGAAACACAAAGCGGGCTATGCGTTCGCGCGGACGAGGGCGGGCTCCCTCAAATGATGTACCCTGCGTGAGTCGAACCCGTGCCGTTGCTAAAAGCAAATGAGAAATTCTACTAGACCACGCAGGCAGAAGGGCTGAAAGCGCCCCGACACATCTATCTGCTAAGTTATATCCATCATCTGGCCTGAATAGCACACCCGCCTTTCTTCTGGGCACACATCCGGCAAGATCAGCGTTTCGAGCTCCAGGAGTGTATTTCATTCGATCAGGCCGAGACAAAATGATATCTGAAATATGTTTAGAAGGTCTAGGCTTTCTATCACTGGTTCCCTACTGGTTCTTTGCCGATTTTACCGCCAATAATGTACCTAATGGGATTGGCCTGGGGATATATATATTGCTGGTATCGCATCAGCATGTGGCAGCACTACCTTAGATACTGTACAGAATATGGCCAAAGAGCACGACGATGCCTGAGTCGAGAAAACGTCATACAGAAGACCGATCGGATAATGTATTAACAAATAGAATCTAATTTTTAGAGCCATCATTTCGCACTGTTTATCAGCTTTTGCATTCGTCAGGAACAAAGATCCCCACTATGACGGGACGGGTGTTTACCGTTGGCCGCCACTTCACCGCCCGGGAATCACCCGCAAGGGACCCACTGGTCCGGCCCCGTTATCACCAGCTCTTACTCTCAACCCTCACTCACCTTTGGCCCTCACCATCAACATAGCTGGATTCCTCTACCATTATGGATTTAATTTTGACACAAAAGGCGTAGCACAAGAATGTCTGGATGGGCCAGCCATGTGTTTCCCTCGCATATCTCGATGCTTTCTGTGCTGCCCTCGATGAACTAACATTGAAGCCTAGAATTGTCACATAAGCGTCTCCTAAAATCTCCTCCCGCCGATGCTCCAACTCGCCGCTCAAAACACAAAAGCACACTCGATCCCATCCATAGCCTCGCCATTTTCTAGAAGAACACTCCCATTGAAATGGTAGCCCGGGGGCAGACAATAGTTTTTTTTTTCCATTGTACCACTTTCCCGTTTTTCGCAAATGTGTCCGTCTTTCTCTTCATCGTTCTGCACACATCCGAATGCTTAACAGTATGTGGATCCTGTGTCGGCTCGATGTAAGGAAGAAAGGAACTGCTGTTTGCATTCTCATAAATATCGTCCCAGTCAATTGGGAAACAAATGCCACCGATCGAACACATCATTTTTTCTCCCCAGTCATCGAATGAAGGCTCGAGCACCATTCGATATACTCCCATTCCACTGAGCCAGACCTCTACGGTGTCTATACCTGGTGGCCGTACTTTTTTCAAATCACGGCCCTTGGGTTGAATCATAACCTTTGCCTGAAAGATCTTGTGCGCCTCTCTGTATGACATCGATGCTAAAGCAGGTGCATGACTGTGAGCATCTGGTGGGATGCATACAATCCAGATTCGAGGAACCGGTGGATCATTGCCACGTGAAATCTCTTCAAGTTGTCGGCTCCAATAGCCTGCGGGGCATTGAATTCTTTCCGTTAAATTCAAAACGCCGTGGCCGAAAATAAGGATACGATGACGGTCTTGAATCAGCGGATCAAAGAATTGCATCGTGGGGTCGACGTCGCGCAGCGGGCTCAAATACTTGTCCCGGTTGAGAAAGGCGTCCCAAATTCCAAGCAAGTGCGCGACCAGAGAGACTTCGGTAGCCGTGAGTCTACTCAAGGGCAGGCCCGTGAGCTCATAGAATTCAACATTGGTCATTATCAGCTCGACCAGATAGGCAATTATATTGCGATATGATCGTGGAATGGCGTACTTGAATACCCATGGTTTCGGCCTCATCTTTGGGCGACGAGAAGGCGAACAGATGATATCGGGAGATATTTAAGGAGAAGAAGGGGGTGGAATTTTACAATTTTGCAGAGTTAGATCAGGGAGAAAATACCCAGCTCTGTAAAAGGTAAAATTGAAAGACCGAGGCGACTGTAGGTGGACGGGAACCACTGAACCTCTGACCTGCAAAAAAAGTCCAGTGGTAATGTACTGTATAAGAGCTTCTGCAAAACTTTTGATGTCGCGAAGCAACTTAGAATGGGCATGCAGGCGATAATCGAGCTGTAAAGAGCCTTGAAATTTTTCTTCCCGATCTATAGGAAGATTGGTTATTGTTGTAGAGGTTATTACTTCAATACATTGATACGATAATATTTTCAAAGATTTCGCGCGGTATTGCTGTTAGCTTAAGACGATAGTTGTAATTTACCCGGTACACTCGGAAATGATGTAGCCATTCTCTCCACATCGCCTTGTCCCCGGAATTCTTATCGCGGCGCTTGAATAAATTTGATTCAAAAAATTACGATGTATTGAAAACCCTCTGTAATCATTTGGTATCTTTACACTCCTGGGAATCGGAATGTGGAGCCCCGATGATCTTTGCTCAAGGTGAAGGCAGCCGAATGACCCCATCAATCCACCCCGACCAATCTAATGGTCTAGACCGACAGCGACGAGCGCCACTCCTGTACCGACATGAGCGACTGCAGTATTCCTGGGAGCTGTGCTGGAGGATCAGGGGCTCAGAACCACTCGTATTCGACTACCACTTCGGGCGGCACACGGGGTTAGCGATCATGCATTCATGCAAATGATGCAGAGTCTATGGATCGGTATATCTATGACCTTGTCGCCTGCCCCTGGATTATGATTCCCAGTCTTCCAAGATGAGGATGGACGGCATATCGCAGACTAGCGATGGCAGCCAGAAAGGTTTGTTCTGCCACCATCATCACACTCGCAATCGTTTTCTACCTTTGCTAACCAAGGTCAATCATACTTCAGCCGTCACCAGAACGCCCTCGTCTTCATCCTTGGGCACAGACTCTACAAAGTTTGATGCCTCCATGGATGTCCTGGGCGACGACGCCAACCGAGAGACAGAAAAGCTACAATCTAAGAAGAGGGATTGGCGGAACGAATTCCAACATCTTGTCCTTCAAGGAATCGATAAGCATCAATTGTATTAGTAATGAGTTCGCCACGAGCCGCAAAAATGGGTGATAGGCTTGATTCAAATATTGAACAAAGGTCCCTCTTGATGATTCTGTTCGGAAAGCGTTGGGTCTACCCTCTGAGTGAATCAAGACATTTCTTTGGACATTTGAAGTCTTCGGTGCCAAACTCGACTTTGATTTGATCAAGGCCTCGACGCATCTCAGCTAATTGCTTGGCCTTATAAAAGTATTTTGTTCTTCTGCTCGTGAAGATCTACTAATCATACACAGAGCTTATAAGATCCCAAAGCGACCCTTCCATCTATGCTACCATCGAATACACTTGAGGGAAGGCAGGCCGAGCAATACTGCAAAGGCTGGAATGTGACTGCCTAGAGGAAGCTAAAGCAGAAATTTAGCTCTCACGCTGGAGGCATATCTGGACATGTTGATAACTCGGCCCCTACAGGAGGACCTGGAGAAAGCAGTCTCGGCTCAAAAGATATTGCAGGACTTGCAGGTTTTGAAAATTTGGTTGCAAAATTCTTTAATCCCACTCGGGGTGGACTGGAGCTCGCCACTCGACAACAGAACTGGGTTTCTAGAGCAGTTGCGATGGAACGACGCCCCAGCTCTTGCGAAACTCACATCGTACAAATACGTGGCGTTGTTTAGAGTATACGCGCAGAACGCATTTAGCGATGGTGGCGCCCAAGCCCGTTCCATCTTGGGCTGCCCATAGAACCAGCTGATGATTGAGGTGAAAGCGTGCATGGCTGCTGAGATCGGGCTGGAATTCCGGATTGATAGCCTTGCTCAGGTGTGTTTCAACGGACCTACCTTCGGTCTCAGCTCTGGCAGATAATCCTTTGCAGGTTTTCTACAACATTCGCAACTATTATTCTTTGACAGCTGTGGTACAGGGTATCCAGGCAAGTAGCTTACAAACAAAGTGCCCAACAAAGTACGGCAAGCTTGTCGACCCCACCGGTGGCTACCAAGCTTATCGTAAGAACACGGCCGAGAGCCCTTCGCTGCATCTTCTGTTACCAGCATTGTCTGCATTGGCGCACAATGGTTTGAGCTCTGCAGGAGGTGTGTCAGGGGATATTGTACTATAATTCGAAGAGCATTGTTATCCTTAGTCCAAAATGCACCCAGAGCACGGACCTGCTTCAGAATTCTATGGCATCTGGGCTGCCCATGGGGAAAAGAGAAGTCGTTTAATAAATCCACAGTTTGGACCCTTTTGACTTCCTGCTTCAGGCGCTAGAGCAAAAACTGATGGCATAGCCTCGCAGCGTTGCCTAGATACAATTTCATATGTTCCGCAAGCATGAATGTAGGTATCACAGATATATGAAGCTACATACAAATTAGATACCACATTGCTCCTGGCTATCTGCAATTTCCGGCGCCATGAACCTTGCTTCCAGTGTTAGCATTGATACTATATCTTTTTCCATTGAGTGGGAGTACCTCTTCTTGATCTTGAAGACGTAGGCAGTCTTCAGATATCGCTCATTCGTCCAGCGTCCCGGCTTGTCATGTCCAGGAGGCAACTCCTCAATTTCGGAAAGCCCCATCGCAATGAGGTATGTAGGAAGGAAAGTGGCCGGAACTTTTGACAGCAAGTTCATATGCGTTTGATCGTTTTTTTGCCAACAGTGGTGGTCGAAATCTACCATCTTATTGAAATACTGCCCATCTTCATCCACACATTCGGGACACACGTGAGTCATTCCTGATGAAACTGCAATTTTCAGATAGATCTGGATCTTAGATTGCACAAAATCCTCTGCTTGGGAGGCTATAGTTTTGACGACGACCTCTCTGGTAAACGCAGCGATCCGCTCGCGTGGCAGGTCGAGGTTGGGGTCCTTGTCTGTTGGTTTCCATCCTATAACTGTTTCGTAGCTCCGTCGGAATTTGTACTCTTCCCTTTCCGACAAGCCATTGTGATCTTCAGTTTTCTTCATCTGTCTTAGATGACTTCTCAAATCGCTGGCTTGGGAGAAGGACTTGAAGCAAGCTGGACAAACGTAGTTCTTGTTCGCTCTGATGAGCATACCTTACAATATGGAAGCTTTGCGCAAGTCATAAGACATGATGAGGGGAGAAAATCCAGGAAAGCTTTAACTTTTGGAAATAAAAGCGCTCAATAGTGCTATAGGTTCTTTATTATAGTCGTAAAGCGAAATTTTCAAGATCTTGAACACCTGCTTCACTTGGACTGTAACTATGTATGGCCTTCGGTAGGCCATTCAATGGAAACAAAGACCCTGTTCAGCTCTCACATTGGCTCATAAAGTACAGAAGAATAACCCTTGGACACTTAGAGCGCTCCGGTCACTGCTCTCGAGAATTTGCAGCAGATACCGTATCTACCAATGGTTTCAAACAGATTTACGCGATACTTGCTGTTGAGACATTGAATTCCGCCCCTAAGAGTTTATCGAGCACTATTGCTTTGCTAAAATACATTGTCCTCCGGTTAACCAATATCATCCAGTCTTTTGCGCGGTGGTCGTCCGCTCAATCAAATCTGCTTTCATATTCACCGAGCGGAAGAGAAGGACGGTTCTTTCTTTTTTTGGACTGAGAGTACAATTCTGCCACGAAGTACATTGCATCATCCCGGCAGATCTTGTTCTCTTGAAATAGGTGAGCTAAAATTTGCAGCTTCTGGCAAGACCATTGAGCTCTAACCACTGCTGCTGTCGCTTCTTCCCCAATTGCTTCGTACTCTCCCCAGAAGCAAGTTTGAGGTCGCTGATTTTGCCAAAAGTGAACCATGATTTGATTGATTCCACATTCAGCCCCCACGAAAATAATGTTCTATTGTCGCAATGAGTATGTGGGACTTGCCTTTCATTATAGTACCCACCTGTCTATTGCGGTCGCTGCCATTGGGTCCTTTGCTCCAGAATTTCAGTTTCTGCAAGCAAATAATCTGAGGCATGATTGATTTGTTTCACTGAGCAACGCTTGCGCAGAAGGCCTGGTATATCGGAGGTTGTGTAGTCAAGATATTCGCAGATATTGGGCATACTGGGTACAAAATGCTCTTCGAACCGGGGTTTCCGTGCCAGGTTATAGTATATGAACAAACAGGACGGAAGGATCGAAGGGATCTCGGTTCAAATCGACCTTAAGTTGACAACAAGAAGCCTTTGAAATTGGATTCTCGCAATTACTCCACTTTTACATCTTGGAAAACCTTTTCTCCGTAGATATGTACAAGGCATCGGCTTATGGAACAGTCATCGGTTCTTATAGCAGCTATGTCTGGCTTCAGTTAATCCAACAACCCGACATAGAGTAATAATATCCCAAGTCTAGTCCAGTCTCCTTGGTTCAGTCGAAAGTACCCTTGAAAGACTTCAGTCGATGTCTTCCATCTTGCGCAATGCCACGCTTTTTCTTCAATCAGACAAAACACACTATTTGTTGAAGATCCGCCCAAACCTTTAAGCATCTTACAGGCAACTCGAAGCTCTTCCTTCAATCGTTGATCAATTAAAGTAATTCAGATTTGATATCAACCTCTTGAACGCAGGTATGGACAAAGTAAAGTGCCAAAAGACGTCCGGGGCGCCTTTGGTACGAAAAGACAGATCAAGAATCATATGCATAAAGCATATCTACATCGCCACCTCATCGACACCCTCGGTACTTGCCAGAAATTCAGTTCAGTAGAGGCAGCACCTAGCCATTGGTCGGATAATCACTCCCGTTGAAAATTCAGCAGCTAATAGGCCGCTTCAAGATTGCCGCATTGGATCGCAAACTCTTGCATCGACTTTTCTCCCGGGCTCGCACGAGTAACAGGAACACCATTTCGTAATTCCCATGCCATAAGTGCAGCTGGATCTGCATCAAAGATGCGCAAGTTGCTCGGAGGCAAGCAATGGCGGCTATACAGCCAATCGAAGAGCTCAATCGGATTCGGATGATACATAACAATCTCGAACCATAAGACAGGATCCTTTTGAATCACAAAGGCCAGATCTAATCCTCTCTTAAACATCCGGTCTGCTAAATTTAGACCCGCATATCGGCAAATGCTGCGGATTTCATCTTCCTGGAGAATCTCTCCCAGATCCAAGGGCATTTGATCGACCTTTCCCAACATACACTGAAGACAACCGAGTTTGTCGCCGCTAGTTGAAGAATTGACCTCCCATCCCACATTTCTGCCACCGATGCAGGAGCAAGAAGATGTAGCGGACTCATCGTGGAAATCATGTTACCAATCGTTTCGATAGCGTTATTCTGAAAGGCAAGAAGGAAGAGGCTGCGCCCAAAGCGGTTGTAGTAGCATGATCGAATAAAGTCCAATGAGCGAGAGCAGACTTGCGAACCCAGTCGCTTTGTAGAAAATTGTCCAACTCAAAGCGAAGATCGGGGTCGGGCTGCTCATAGAAATTCAAGATATGGTGCAGCGATTGCTTCGATTTGAGTGTGTCGGGAACAAAAGAGGTGGTCAATTTGTGACATAAAACACTCGTAGCTGTGGTCCTCATCCTCGATTGGGAATTTTTTCACGTCGAAGGTAGTCTCCATGGAGGAGTTTGGGGCGGTAGTAGGAAATTCATCAAATCTCAACTACTTTGGGACTATTTTATCTAAGTAACGACCGTCCTAATTCGTATTTTCGAGTAAACTAGTTGATTAAGTTGATTTTCGCCTCTGAATTACATGGAAAGCTGGGCACTCTGAACCAATACTCATATACACACAGGACTATTCACAGTCACAACTGTTTTCTCGACTTGAATTTCTCCACCGAACACCTTTGCAGTCTCCGATACTTTAATTTCGTGTGTCGCATTCCCATTTCGTGTGAGAAGCCATTGTTGGACTTTCCGATTTATCTTGTCACTTTTGAAGTAAATAGCCCAGTCTGATCCATTGTTCATCTAGGCATTTTAGTCAAAGGAGATCACCTAACGGGCGCTCCATAACATACCAGAAAAATATTCAATTGTCCCAGAGCAAGCCTTGCTGAAATGAATAATGTAGAGATACCCATTGTTCTGTTCGTAGATGGTTTTTGGATGGCAAAGAGCAGGGGCAGGGAATCGGTGGATGGAACTGCTTATATTTAAAGTATTCCTCTATGAGATCTGAAGACTTTGGTAAATTGGAAACGAGAATTAGAAACCAGATGTAAATCGAAAGTATACCAAGCCAGAACTTGATTTCCCCCCAGGTGGAGAAGAAGAGAGGCAAATATCTTGTTCTAATCGAAGCGTGCTTTGAAATTATGGAATAATGTTGCAGCTTACTTTGAAAGATAATATATGGCAGAAAGTTATAAAGTGGTGAGGTATCCAATCCGACTTTTATGGGGTTGCGCTCCCTCGTAAAAAGCACATTTGGATTAGCGTGGTCCAAAGAGGCCCCGCTAGGCAGCGAGTCAAGTCACATGCGCCGGCGACTTTCCGCTGTGACTTATCCGGCTTTCATTTCTCCATTCATCCTTTGATGCGAAACTATCACGCAAGATGTCTGCTCACCGCAAGAAAAGTCCACAAACATTATCCTACAACGAAGTTATCGCGGCCTTGAGAGATCTGCCAGGAGAGCAGATTTTTGGCCATGTCGAAGATTCTTAACAGCTCGACTTTCTCCGACAAATTTATCGACCGCTCCACAAGTTGTTCGCTACGTCTACAACCACTTCCAAAGTGAATTGTGCACGAGTCAAAAACATAAAAAGCTTGCAAATACCCCAAACCTTACAACGTCGGTTCTCATGATTTGAAAATGATCCTTTGGAGTTTTGGGAAATGTTTGCTAAGCCATTGACGCGATATAGCGACAAGGCTGAGGAAGACAGGGCTAAGTTATTCCTTGAAAATGCAGCTCATCTGGAAAAGAACTTGGATGAGCAAATTATTTTGCGAAGGCTTGTGGCTGTATCATCCTACAAACTCTTTCGGCGAGCAATACCAACGTCAGACCAGCGCATTATGAAACCTAGCGTTAAAAAATTTCTATCTCACGTCGGATTATCTGTTTCAGAAGATGATGTTGAGATAATTGAAACATTTAGTGATATACTCCATCGAGGAAAACGACAAAAGGATTTTTGCGAAGAGTTTGCTGTTAAAGTCTCAAATGATGACAGCTTGGAAGCCCGTCGCCTAAGCAGTGGCGAAGACGACAATCATATATATGGACCATTATTCTTCTCGTCTATCCCAGATAGCATGTGAGTTTGCGATGGATATCGTCAATGGCAGTTTCTAATTGGATTTCAGATGGGATGAAAAAGGTCTGGTTGGAGATGATTTCCATACTACTATTGAGCACCTTCGCACCGTTGATATGTTCAAGAAGGCCAAAGACTCGCACGCTGCTCGCATGGCCAAAGTTTTACTAGACTTCTACAAGGAACTCGTTTGGGTTTCCGAAGTGACAACGAAGAAATTTTCCTCACTGAAAAGGAAAAGAAATGCACAAAGTTCCCAAGGGGGCCGTCAAAAAAAAAGCTTCCCAGCATCTATTCCCGCTACAGAGAGTCTCGGTTCCCAGACTATCCAGCCATTGCCAGAATCTATATCAGAAACAAGGTCCGCCTTAGTAACTACATAATCAGGGTTCGAACCAGATCATTCTATCCATTATGCCTCATAGTCAACCGTGGCGCCAATAATAACCGCCACCCAGGAACCGCCACGCCCTGAGGAGACCCTTCTTTATTTTGATGCCCTTGATTTCGTTAGCCCACATTTTTCGACTACCCATGCTGGCAATATACTTAGTGTAACGGATCTCGATTTTTTAACTCTGTTGCTAGATACATCCTCCACTGAGTTTGTTAATTCGTAACCTGGAGTTCTCGATTTCCCCCCTTTCTCGCCAGTTGTTCAGAGTCATTATTAAGAGGGATAAATTGACGATTGCTCAGTGGCCTGAGTTCCTAACCTTCTATACTAAATACAAAACATTCCCCTCCGGAATTTCTACGCGAACCTTTTTAGAGATGTACATCTTCTTCCCAGTTAATAAAGGGAATGTCCGTTCTCTATCCCTGATCATACAGTTCTCGCTTTGCCAAATGGGTATCAGTTTCCCTTCTTTTAATTCCCAACCGGAGTTCGATGTTCGAAAGGCAGCAACATGAGAATCCTGTATGTGTGAGCAATTCTTTTTCTCTTCGGGGTAAGGACGTTGTCGGGTGAATACAAGGACGAACCTGGGCGAGTTCCTGGAGTATTTCACGTAATTTGATTTCTGAACACTGCTCAACAAGCTTAAATCGGGGGGACTGTCGCCATTCTGCATAAGGATTAGCCTCCAGCCAGGTTTTCAACTCCTTGGTGACCTTCTGCTTGATCTGTTCGAGGGGCTCTTGGAAGATTTCGTTACTCGTGGACTCACTTATGTGGAAATCTGCGATAGTGGTTCTAGAATGAGCTAGGAGGATTTGACTATATGCCTGCCGTCTCTAACAGGAAACCGATAGCGATGACCTAGTAGGTATACAGCTCTCAGCTTCTGTTGCTGCCTACAAAAGCAACGCGTCTTCAATTAGTGGACACAGCTCACATGCAAGCCTCCAGGAAATACTTTCAGAGCCAAGCGCTCACCCAGATGTGATCAAGTTTGTATTGAAGTTGAAGTTATTCTTGAGTAATGTATCAGCTGCATACAATCCGATGCAAGGGTGGCATAGATCAAAAAGTAATGTAAAAGGCTTTCATTGCCCGACGCCCATGTCTGGCAGCAAAGTGGATTTTTTGACTTGCCCCGCGCATTACGTGCCTGTCTGATGAGCCCCACTAATTTGCTTTCAATGTTTAGCCTTGTGTTTGCATTGTTTGTATTCAACGACCCGCTCAAATTATTGAGTATCACGGGGTGGTCAAAGCTCATCGCGGGACTAGCGGCGACGTTGATAGCTTTGACGGGCACCAGGGGCCAACTGTTGCCGATGAATTTTTTCCCTCTGCTTCAATTTTATATAACACACTGCTTTTGCTCCCTGTCTATACGACATGTAAAATGTGCATTAATCGACATATGCATCAAAATATAACGCATTTCAGGCAAGAGTTAGTACTTACGGGCGTCCGAGCTTCATCGGGCTTCACATGTTTTCCCTCTTGATAGCATATAAAACTTCTGCCGACGGTACCCGTCCAGCCAACACAACTCATTTCGTGGTCAAAATGGGCCTATCAGATATTTCTCGATCGACAGAGTGGCCTACTAAAAGACAGCGTGGATTCTCTAAATACTCAGGAGATGACGCTACCGCCGGCCTACACGGCCTGTTCTGAGAACCTCTGAGGGGTGCAAGTATCGAGTGCAAGGTTAGGTTCTTCTAGTAAGCAATCTAGAGCCTAGTGAACGGGCAATAACATAACGCTGGCGCTGCCGGCCTTCTGACGACCCAGCTCAAGAAGATCTTACGCATAGGCTCATCTGTCGCAAAGCCAGCTCTCGACCTGCTCGACTTATTCCTGTGTCTTTGGCAATGTTATGTTGTCAAATTCTCCGGGAAAATCTGATTCGAGAACGAGCGACACCAACTCTGGCTGTCAAACGAGGACCTAGAAGCTGAAAATGGCCTTCTCCTGCAGCGTTGTAATGAGCAGGCGCTGGTACTGTGGGACCATGACGGGCGGCCCGCGCTGTTCAGGCTGGAGTCATCTCAGCGTTACGGACGTGTGGCCGGAATTCTGACCAGATGAACTGTCCTTAAACATCAACAACATTGGTGAACGGAATTCTCGCGTCGGGAGGCATACGCTGCTCTTGGGGAGATTGCGACATCATAGCTCTGCTCTACGACGACGGCTCGTGAGCAGCAAATAAGCGATAAATAAGCTCGAGAATTGAAGTGAGTGAAGTGGTGTTTCGATTTTTTGTGGCAAGCGAAGTGTATCAAACTTATAGAGTAGCACAAGTCTTTGCTTGTTTCATGCCACGCCCCCACAGCAAATGGATCAGGAATGTGATTGGGTGCACCATCATCTGAGCCATGTAGGCGCTCCGAGAACGAGAAGAAGTGGCTTGCCCTCCCAGTTCTCGATTCAAAATATCAGCTGCGGGGAATGACCTCAAAACCGGCCACCTAGCATCACCAAGCGCACATGACTATCTTAACGGGCCCTCTATATTAGGTTCAATACTTTTAGTTACAGAATTTCTATATATTCCAGTTTTGCGCAGGCCAGCAGGGCCTCATGGCTGCTTAACACTACTCGAGCTTGGGTTAAACTCCAAGCTCTAAGACTATGAAGCCGAGACGCTTTGAAATCCCTAGATAAACTTTTGCCCCGCTTTAAGAAAGTGGGTCGTGAACCTGTCTATACCGCAATCACCTTGTACCCATGGGTCCGAGATCATCTCACCCCGCAATACGGCGTATTTGAGGGTTTGCGAAATGTATACGTGAAATATCCCGTAGGCAATGTACGCCTGCTTTATAATAATGAAGATTTACTGACACCAAAAAGGCCGAGCGTTCGTTTAGCATGAATTTTCTAGGCCAATTATTAAGCGCTAGTATTGTACTATTCGCCGCAGGAGAACTCATTTGATAGACCCGGCAATGGCAGTGTTTTTTACTTCCTTCACTCTCGCCCCAAACCCGGACAATATCGTATCTTAAGGTATAATTCGTTCGGTCTTAAATTATTCTCCCCCGCCCTCTACTATCGCTACATGAGACTGGTTTGTGTCTGATCAGATGTGCTGGCCACTGAAGTCTCTGGATTGTGTGCTGCATAAACGCAATTGATCAGCGCGGGGATTTGTCGACGTTAATACCCCCCAAACAACTTTAGATATTGTCTCAACTGATCATCACCATTGAGCAGCCCCAGAATGTCAGAACCTCTTTCGGGACGGTCCGTGTCTCCCGATTCTACCCAGTTATACCAATCTCTCTTTCAAATCGGTGCCGAGTTCCCACGCTTCCTGGTACCCTATTATCCCTGGTGGGAAGACGAAGCTACTACAGTTCTCTGGGCATTCAAAAACCTCGAAATCCGCCTACTTATTCGCTACGGCTTATTTCGCGATGAAAGTTTAGCACGAAATTCGCTTTTAAGCCGCAATGTCGACACAATTAATGCGATTTTTGTGGCGCTAACTGAATCGCGTGAACATCAGCTGCTTGAGCGTCTCTCCCATGTGCAACGAGTGGAGGAAATCCTGCGACGATCTGGGCTTCCACCATTCCAGCCGGTCCCTTGGTGTTGGACACCTCAAGCTTCGATGCATGCGGGTATTTCATAATGTCCTCGTCCTATTGCTCCAATGATCCACCTTCCAAAGAATTACTGCTGCGGGCCTGTCTGCCCTGACAGCCTCGGAACTCTCAAAGACTGTTCTACACGGCTAACAGGGCCTTCTGGTAGTGGTGCGGGTAGAAATAGATAAGAATTCTGTCTTCCTAAAAGGCCCCATGTCCTCGTTACTTCAAAGTACCATCGGGTCTAGTCTTGGGAAAAGCCCCACTATGCTCATAGCTCGGGCCGGTGTATATAAAGATCTACTTTCCGAGTTAGCCTGGACAACAAAGATGGAGGTAGCTTTAGCTAACTAGTAACACTTGAAATGGCATCAGTGATATTATTACTATGGAAAATTATCTAGAAACTACATAAAATCAGTATTCAGACGATTCATGCGATAGGGGCGCTTTGCTGTAATCATCTCTTTCGAATCTTCTCATACTCAGGCAAAGCCCATTTGACCATCCATTCACATTCAACGATCTGCTTCGCAGTAAAGCGATGCTCGGGCCTGAATTTGAGCATCGACTTCAGCATTTTGAAGATAGCATCCCTCTCGGCCGGTTCAATGCGCGGCATTCCTTTCCTTTGTCGAGGCTCCTGCATGTCTTGTTCGAACCTGTCTTCCCACGACCGGTAAGGGTCCCGGTTAATGGGCCTGCCGCCTTCCGTGAATCTGGTATGTCGCTCCTCCCATTTATACCACCATTCTCGGGGTAGCAAACCAAGAGCATCAACTTGCTCGCAAGTAATGCTATCTTCTGTCGCAAACATGCTGTCAAAAAGTGAATTCTGACCTATGATGCTCCATAAAGCACATGCGAGCGACCAGATGTCTGATGGGAAGGACAGAGGTTTATGTGGCTCGAAGCGAGCCTCTGGTGGTCGATTCACAAGCGGAGTGTGGGACTCAAAGTTCTGTTGCTTGGAAACGGAGAACGCCTCGCCAAAATCGCTAAGCAGGATTTTGGCCTCTGGAAGTTTGAGTTTGTCGCTTGCTTCGCCAAGCCAGGTTGACAAAACGGCCTCTGGTGGAATATTTGGTGGGAGAGATCGTCCATCAAAACGCCTTATTGCTACAAGTTCCGGTTCTCCGTACTTGTTATACAATTCCTCCACGGAAAGTTGACTTAGGTCAGACGGCAACTGGAGGAGAACATTTCCACAATGAAGATCTCCGTGGACAAATCCCTGGGAATGGACATACTCGACTGCAAGAGCCAGCTGGGCCGCTAAAGCCCGAGCAACCTCCAATTGGAAGAGGCGGTTGTATGAAGCATCTTTTGCATCTGAAAGACTCATTCTTGCCGGAATTGAAACGTAACACGGGTGCGTGCCATTAGGTCCTCGAATTTCAAAACTGTCCAGTACCTGAGGAATCATTGTCTTTCCTAAGCCTGTACTTGAGCTTTGTTGCGAGTTGGAAAGTTCCGAAAGGACGCTGAATTCAAGCGGGTTCGAATCCGCGGTGCACACTTTGATGGAAACATATTTGCCATGTTTTTGATCTCGGGCCAGCCAGATAGTCGAGTACGTGCCGTGTCCAAGCTTTTGAACCACTTGATAGCGAGTGTGAATATGATCACCGATAGTTATGGGGTGATAGCCTCCCACGCAATAGCTTTCTAGTTTTTCCACTCCTTCGATGGGCTCGTACAGGTGAAGCGAGGAGCCATTAGTCTTGGGAGAATGAGACATGAGAGCAGCAGTGCAGAAAAGGCCGCGAGCTCGATTGTGGTAATGCTGACTTTGTCTGGCTTTGTTGAAAAAGGAACCAGTATGAGAAAGCACCAAACGCGTCTGAAAAGGCCGAATTTGTGATGAGATCAAATGCCTCATGGTCCATATCTCTAGACCAACTATTACAAGTTTGGGCCACAAGCCTGTATCAGCTGCTCCTCGGCGCGTAGAGAAAAGATTCACGTACGTGAGTTCCCGAAGACAAGTTGACCGGAACAACTATTTTCCGGAACTTTCATTCAAGGAGGAACTTCGAGAGCCAATCATGTGTGCCGCGCGTCAAGTAAAACAGTGCCGCTCTACAGCAGTGAGTTGTACGCGCCAGGCCCTGGGCGGGAGAGCTCGTTCATTTCCGATGGAGAAGGTGATGTTTGGTTCCTACATGATAGAGCCACTTGAGTAAGACCTACCTGTAGAGCTACTAGATTTTATTCGACTAACACCTGTCGATAGACGCTTTGCTACAAATTCATACCATAGCAGCGGCTATCGGCCTATTAATAGCTTGAAGGCTCAATCAAGCTATTGATCAGAGGATTACAGGGTCATGTATATGCTCCAGAGTCCCTATAAAAGCAGGATAATTCCTAAAATTGTGTTTTCCAATATTTTCTCCATTAAGCCAAATCCATCAAAATGTCTACTCTCAATGTGATCAAGTATTACTTTTACGAAGGCACAGTCCCAAGGTCCCAGGAGCGTATACGCCAATTGATCACCTTAGCCTATCAGACCGCAAGAGATAGAAAAATATACCCCAAAGCGATTCTCATCAGGCAAGTTTGAGATCCCGAACCAGCTTATATTATGTATTCATGGAACCATGCGAGTTCCATTCGTTTTTATCACGTTCTAATACAATGTTAGGTCCGAGGCCCACCCTACAACTAGTATAAACGGAGTTCGAATGAAAGACCCGTTGGGGTTGCACGTTACTCTCTGCTATAAAGATGAGGATCAACTTCTTCGGGGTACACATGTGGCTAGCCATGGATATGTGAAAGACAAAGCCACCCTGGAATTCGTTCAAGCAACACACCATCCAGAGAAGTCTGATTTGACGAAGCGACAAAAAGGAAAGATTGTCTGGCCGTCTGAAGACGAACTTGTCGCTGCACCTGAAATCGCCTATAGTCATCTTCCGGTTGGATGGAAGTAGGTAAACCGGAATAATCTGTGAAGCCCCAGAAAGGCAGAATGCAGTGCTGGTAATATGAAAGGAGGTTGGGGAATCCTGAATATTTGACAACCTTTTTGGTTCCATGTACAGCAACAATGATGATAATTTCATTTACCCTGATCTCTCGCGAGTGAAGTCAACCACTAGACCGATAACGAATCCGTTATCAGCCTAGTGAATGAGGTTTATAATCAACTCTCCTCCGTAAACCTTAGACACAAGGCTGGGGACGTGCACTTGAAGCTCTGCAGCCACCATTTCGAAAATCGATTGGTTTGTGAATTGATGCCTGGATGGAGAGTATCGGGCAGCTAGCCTAAACCACTTGAACTATATCCACAGTCTGTGGAGAAGCTTATGAAAGAACAGTAACGTACGCTGTCATTATCAATTATAATCCTGCGGTATACGTAAGAAGTCACGGGATAAGCTGTACGAGAAATTGATTAAATGCTGGCGATGACTGACAAGACAGAACAGAGCTGGGGACATATGCATATATAAAAACTTTAAGCCCATCTGCATTCAATATAACGTAAAGAAAAATAACCATCAATGAATTGAACTCCGAAGCACCATTATCAGAAAAGAGCCAGGTAGGCGGGTTTTGGAAAGACCTGCGGAAGACCCAGACAGGCAGTTCTAGCAGGTCCGCGCAACTAAAGTAATTACTCGAATATTGTATGGTCTGCATCAATGGGCCTATGGGAATTATTACACACAATCCGAAACTCTCATCTAACGGAATTACAATAATCCCCAAGCCTACTACGCCGATGGCATGTGACTTTGTGCCCGTCGAAACGTACAATGCTATTGATACTAAGTTGGGAAAGGATGAAAATCGATGTTAATGATGAGCCAAGGGACTAGCCAGAGATCTATGTATGTACAGATACTACACATTGTGAGCATGGATCGTCATCATGATCTGCATGGGTCGTTCCCGTATACACTCGTAGACATTGACCGGCATTAAGGCCGCCGAGTCCCCGACGGAACACTTTCAGCATCTGAAGCAGCTCCCAGGAATACTATGGACGCTCTCATCGGCTCGGCGGCGGTGCTCGTAACTTCCAATCTAGACCAATAGATGTCAGGGAGGGTTGATTTCTAGAAATGTCCTGATTGGGCAGGTTCACTTCGCCATGGGTCATTCGGCGCGCGTCACTAGCGCAAGGATCATCGGAGCCCCGCAATTCGGTTCATGAGAGTGCAAATGTACCAAATCATTACAGAGAGATTTCAATACATCGTAATTTTCTGAATCAAACCTGATTGAAAAGCGTACTCTGAAGCCGTGGAAGAGGGAGAGGCGCAAAAATGTACGAACTCGTCTCTGACTGAGGAATGAGGGTATTAACAAAAAGATGGATCCACCCCCCCCTTATCCCAATCGACGCTTGTGCTAGAAGCGTCACATGTATATTCGAACGCATTCAATGATTTTATACGGAGGCAAAGTGACCATTTCCCAATTAGTGTTCTACATCTGCTGTGTTCCAATAACAGTGAGCCCGATGCGCCATTGTAGGTCGTTTTGCAAAGTATTACGATGTTACACGCCTAGTGTCCTAAGTTGGTCCGTCTTCCTGGTCTACGCACGATTGCCAAGGGCGAATTGGGGATCCTGAGCAGTCTTAGGAATCGATGGGGTTTCGTACCGTGACCGAACCAATACAGTGCATTTGATGGATCACTATTCATGCAATAATTTTCGGGCAGTCGCCTGTGTGCTAAACCATCTGTGAGGGCTGTTGACCTGCAGTCCTGCTGACTTGACTAACTTCCCTACTATTGCAGAGGCCCAATTATAAATACTGCCCCTGGTCATTCCCTGGTGAACCGGGAAAGATACCGCGAATCCTATCTGTCATCATGAGCCAATTCATCATGTCGCCTACAGTCAATGGCTCTCATGTCGATATTTCGGAATCTGTCTGCCCAATTCCCAAATTACCCTACAGCCGGAGTGTCTGCTTCAGCGGCCTCGCTAATGGTCAGACGCGGCGAGCTACAAGGCCCAGCACTGTATATTGCGGATAGTACATGAACCTAACGCGAAATTGTAGGAGAACCGTTCTATCACACCGAATCCGAGCAACTCGCTGCAAATCAAGTTCTGTCAGCAAGCAAATTTTACGCCTGTGCTCCCCACGGGGGAAACTGTCGAGAGGCTGTGCATCAAAGTAGCGAACAGCTACTACAACCTTCAGTTATTGGCTCTGCACAGACTGGCTACGACGCTACCGCAACTACCAAGGCGCCAGAGCGGCCAAGCAAGGATAGTATGACAATTCATTGGCAGTGTACGCTCCAAGAAAGCGCTTAAAAATTCATGTCTGACGGTTTTCGCATGAATAGGTTACGCAAACAAATACAACACCCTTCTTAATACCACCAAAGGTATTCTATCGAAGCTGGTATATCAGCTACCTGATTTGCCTGTTCCAGACATAATGGTGCTATATGGATACGCATTTGGCATGCTGAAACCTGAAACCTCCTTCAGCGTTCTCCTCTAATGGACTCAGATCTATAGCACCAGAGATCCAAACTACGGATATTACGGCAAGTTAGACCAGTAACCACCCAGGTGGATTCGCTAACTCCAAGTAGACTCCGGGTCTCAACTGTTGAATATAGTCCTAAAGGATTATGGCAACCAGCAGTTTATTTTTTTCCCGCGTCTTAATGACGCATTAAGATTTGTTAAGATTGATGAAAAGGACAAGCAAATAATCAAGTGGATTATTGCTGTAAGGAAACTTCAAATCCAGACCCATTGTTTGATTTTTACGCTCGAATCATCAGGCCACAACCCTATTTAATGGATGCAGTTTATATTTTCTTTTAACTAGTCAGATTGGTCTGCAATTATCATGGAAATCAATTGAAACAAAAGCCCGCAATGCTTCCTCACCAAGTCTTTAGTGTAGTTTGTTCAACAATCGAGTATATGCCATCGCCATTGAGGATAAAGGGTACCTAGCGCATTCGAATTTCCAAAAGTAAATCACTCTGCAAATCAGCAGTGGTAAACATGTGGTCATTCCCTTTTCAAATTCGCGACAGAGTACTTCGAGGGCCAGCCGTGTTCCTTTGGAAAGGTTTGAGCATCTTGTGATGGCGTGTGTTGCGCGAACATACTCTAAACTCCAATGTTTTGTCTTAATAGTTCCAGGCCACTGTTTTCGGTGAAACTCAAGGTGTAAATCACAGTAGCCTGGCTGGTACAATCGTGGTCTTTGGATTGGTATATTAGGGACCAAATCCATGGATTTCGGGACGTTTTCGCAACATTGGATGGCGCAGACGTGTTCCAGCATTGCAGCATTATGTACCAGAGAACTATAGCACATGTCCTTCTTGGTAGCCGTGTAGTTCTGACAAGCTTCACCATCAAATTCGGATATTTCTTTTGTGTCAGTTAGCAAGGATCATTGCGGAGCCTACGCAGGCAGTACGCAGACAAGTGGCATGCAATAAAAAGCCGATCAGATGCCAATTTACTTCTCTACCCATTCAATGAAATAAGGAATTAGAAATAAAGAAGTACACACACACAATTTATTAACACCTGGCGGCTGATCCGCAAGGGCAACTATCACTGATCTAAATACATACGCCTTAGCTAATGCTACAACAAATTGTTCTATTGAGTAGAACTGCTCATCCGAACAGTCTTCTCCACGAGGCAGACTAAAGATGTCAGTGCATTCGAGTTATTCACAGCACCGATTGGCCCATTATTTCCTGGCAGATATCATTAGTATCCATAGCATCCAACGACAACATGTATATCGATGATCACAGGCTTCCGGCCTTAGGCGTGTGTGGGCATTCATGGCTGTGATTAGCTCATATCTCTTTGCAGCAGTACCCAGTTCCACATATCCACTTAGTTCCCGGGAATTCGATGTAGGTATTGCTGACGGGCTGTCCAATTATGGTAGGTGTAATGGTAGGTTCAGGCTCCCAGGAGCTCATAGCCAAGTTTGGACCAATTATCTCTACTGAGGCTTTGGGGCACATGTGGATCATTCGTGGCACCGATTGGCTCATTATTTCTCCGTAAACATCAGTCTATTAGTGGTATCCAATGATTGCATCAATATTCAGGACCCACTGGCTCCTGAGAGCCAAGGCCAATTATTGGCCAATCATTTCATTGAAGACTTATGCGCATGTGGGCCTTTGGTGACACTAATTGGCTGATGTTTCCTTGTAGTAGTTGTTGTAGTTCAGAGGTATTAATTGTCTTCTTGCTCAGAGGGAAACATTAGGCTATATATATACAACGAGAAGAACAAGTTGATTGGAAATCAACTTGGTTCTTCTTATGGATATCTCGGGATTAATTCCGATGGTTCGGCTTGGTTCCTGATCTGCACCAGCCTCATATCACAACACGAATCAGTCCACGCTGCACCATAGCTTGTATCTGGTTGATATTGTGTAGGCGTAATGGATTTTCTCCGATATACGGGTTAGGCAATGAAGAATCCTGCAGTTTGGCTGGTAGGAATCTAGGGTCGCAAAATGGCATGGTGTTTGCCTGTCTTTCATTAGGTGTTCGTTGCGTGGAGTAACGGGCTCATCACCGGTGAGTAGGCCTCGCCAAAACCCGCCCACTGCCCAAACCCGCCCGCGAAAACCCAGCCCATGGGCCGTGTTGAGATTATTATTATTATTATTATTAATTATTTAACGTCGCCGGCAGGTCACTTGGCAGGTGACCCGCTACCTCCCGAGGGGTAACTGGACGTGCTACCTAAGCGATGATTTACTACAACTAGCTAACTAGCTCAACAAAATGTACGCTGGAAAGCAGCAAATTTGAGCACTACGTGCTGAGAAAGGAATCGAAGGAGCGCCAGGCACTATCCTGGCCTGGGTTCCTGGGGGTGGAGTACCCGGTCTGACTACCCGTGGATGGGAGAGGGTGCCAGCCTCTCCCATTTAGGCAGAGGTGAAGACTGTTGCGCTATGCGGCGCATGTTTGTGCCCGATTTGGGCAGATATCCTTAAAGAAGGACGTTTCTTGCACGAAACGGCCGAATTCCTCGGCCCCAGCAGCTGTGCTCAGTATCCAGTCTATCATTGCAGATGGGCTGACCTTTGGACCTTTCCATCGATCCTTCCAGCGTTTCCTCGCAGGCGGGCAGAAGAAGAAGTGGACGGGGGATTTTGGCTTACCGCAGGAGCAGGTCGTAAGGGAGTCCCTGTGATAGAACCTCTCGTGGTATGCCTGGAAGTCACCATGGCCAGTCCGCACGGCTAGTAGCCGGCCGAGCACCCCGCGGGGAAGCCGGTGTTCCCGAGCGCGGCTGTTCTTAGTGTAAGGTTGAATATTTAGGTCTTGGTATGCCTGAGGTGCGTCCCTGGTATACGCAGTACACGTTGCCGCGCGGGTATGTTGTTTCGCTTCACGCATTAGGTAAGATAGGGAAGGGGGAATATAGGAGCCGTCTAACGCTGCGCCCCTCTTTGCTAGCTCATCGGCAGTCTCGTTCCCTGCTATCCCGGAGTGGCCTGGCATCCAGCGCACCTCCACCGGCGTGCGGGGTGTGCTGAGGATATAGGGAGCGGATTTCCACTGGGTAGTAAGCTTTTGAAATAAGTTCGTGAGTTTTCGTCTGTGTAGCGCAGGTCTCCCGTCCGCGAGTAGGCTAGCGACAGCGAGGTTATCGAGGAAGATAACGAGGCCGGCGGAGTAGCTTACGCAGGGTAGGTTGACAGCCGCCTGGAGGCCCTCTACTGCGCCCATAAGCTCGGCGTCGTACACCTCTGTCTGGGAGCCAGCTAACCCATACCCTTAGGTAATAGGGATAGAGCCGTAGTAGACTACGAATCCGTACCCAGCCCCTTGGCTAGTACGTAAGCCGTCCGAGTAGACCGTCAGCCGTAGCGGTGCTAGTGAGTATACGGCCTTGTTTGTGTCCGTAGTAGGTAGTATGCGGAGCGGTGGGAGACGCGATTCTATGCGTACTCTCTCCGGTGCGGGCGTTGGGACGCGTTGGAGGATTTTGGTGAGTCTCGTCCCTCTAGGATCGTATGCGCTAATGGTGACTCTTGCAATCGGGTGCCTAACGTCTAGGCTCGCGTATCGGACTGCTGCCTTTTGAAGGACGCCGTCGAGGAGGGCTTCCGGGTAGGGTAGATCTGCCTCGCGAAGTAGCGCTGAGGTAGGGGTTGTTCTGTAAGCTGGAAGGATGGCTAGAGCCGCGAGCCGGAGTAGGGAGCGTAGAGAGTCGATGAGGCCTTTCTGCCCTCGGCCGGTGTAGAAGACCTCCGCGCCGTATAATGCTGTCGGTATCACGCACTGAATAACCGCTGCGCGCATAGAGGAAACCGGACATCCTCGCTGGGTATTGCTGAGCTTCCGGAGATGTAGTGCGAGCCGCTTTCCCGGCTGAAGACCCAGTTGGTATGTGGCCGGAAGGTGAGCTTGCTGTCCAGTAGGACGCCTAACCAGCGGGTATATGGGGGTGGCTTAATCTCGCCTACCCCTGGTAGAGTGACCGTAGGCGCGGACAGCTTCCGCTGCTTCGAGAAATGTTGGATCTCGGTCTTCTCTGGGGAGAATGGGAGACCTGATGCCGCTCCAGATAGGGTGATTGTTTTGTATACTTCTACTAGCTGCTGGGATGTCTCCTCGAGGGAGTCCCCGACGAACAGAAGCCCTAGGTCGTCCGCGTAGCAGAAAGAGTTATCTTGTGAGGAGACTATCTTCGCCGCATATAGGAGGAAGAGGACAGGGGGATAGGGGGGGACCCCTGTGGGAGGCCTCCTCTGAGCTTTGCGGTGGCGGTAGCGTCTCCGACCTGGACCGACACGGAGCGGTCGGATAGCCAGTCGCGTATCCAAGAAGTAAGGCCCTCGTCCCATCCCTGGAGGCGTAGGTGTGATAGAAGCCGCTGGTGGTCAACCGCGTCAAAGGCCCCTTTCACGTCCAGTAGTAGTAACGAGGCCACCTTCTTCTGCTGGAAGGCTTTCTCCACCCTATGGGTAAGGATCTGGACTAGGTCTACGGCTGAGCGGCCGGGTAGGGCGCCGAAGTGGCACGATGTTAGTAGTTGTGCTTGAATGGTCTGAACCGTGAGTCGCCGCGCGATGAAGCGTTCTAGGCCTTTACCTAGGGTGGAGAGTAAGCTAATGGGTCGCCAGGACTTTGGCTGGGTGAGGTCCCTCTTTCCCGGCTTTGGTAGCATGACGACCTTTGCAGATTTGAAGGATTGCGGGAAGTGCCCTTCTGTTAAGCTGCGGCGGAAGAGTGATGTGACTAGGTCGCCAACGACCGGCCAGAGTTCCCTCCAAACTGTTGTGGCAAGTCCGTCCTCTCCAGGGGCAGACGGAGTGGGCGCGCAGAGAGCGGCCCAGCAGTCCTCCTTCGTTGGTAGTCCTACTAAATCTCGGGGCTGAGTCGGGGGCCCCTCCTCCTGCTGGTGCGGGAAGGAGGTTCCCTTCTCTAGAAGGTGAGTGAGGAAGGTGTCCGCCTTGCCCTGGGGCGTCGTGATCCGTTCGTTCCGGATATGTAGAGGGGGAGCGGAGAGCTGGTCTGCGCGCCTGTGCAACCTGGCGAGTGTGAAAGCGTCTGTGGGTAAAGTGGCCTGCTCGATCCGCTCCTTCCAGGAGCTGGCCTTGGCGCGAGAGATCGCTCTCCGAAGCGAGAGGTAGTCGGGCACCTGCTGCTGCCGTGTCTTTCGTAGTAGATCTGTGAGCTCTGGCGTCCACCAAGGGGTACGTGGGAGTCCGCGGGTGTTGTATTTAGATGCACCTCGAATGGCTCCTTGCACGGTGTTGACTAGTTTTTCGGCTATGTCGTCAACCGGGAGGTCCTTATGCGGCAGGTTGAGTAATATCTTAGCCTTCTCCCAGTCGGTAGAGCCCAGCTTCCGACGGGGTGGGGGTTCCTGCCAGTCTATTGTAATTAGTATAGTTGCATGGTCGCTCGTGGAAGAGAGATGGTCCTCTGCTGTAGCTTCCACGGGGATGTCCGAGAAGACGAGGTCTATGGTGTTTGGCCCGCGGGTAGGGGTGCCGGGCTCAATGCAAAGGGCCAGTCCGTTGGCCTCCAGCCACTCTATAAGCGCTGTTGCTCCTGGTGTAGTGTTGTGAGCCTCCGTCTCAGGCTGCCAGAGTGGGTGGTGGGTGTTGAAGTCCCCGGCTAAGATGGTGTTCTGCGGGGGGGAGTACTGTAGGAGTGTGTGGAGGGTAGATGGTGTTGAGCTAGAAGTGTTTGGGACCACTAGATCCTTGGGGGGGGGCGGTAGGTGTTGATTATTGTGAGTCCGGATACGCAGACTGCTGCGATATCGGGTGAATCGGGGTGGGGGGAGGGGGAACGCAGGGAGGTCCCTACGTACGTATGTCAGAGCTCTAGGCCGAGCTTCCCAGCGGGTGGTGGGGCCAAACAGCTGGTAGCGTGGGTGAGTCTTCGTGAGTTGCCTTGTCATATCAGTCCAGGGCTCCTGGACTAAGATGACGTCTGCTTCGTATGATAGAAGTAGGTCGTGGGCAGGGCCGCCCCTCCCGACATTGGCCTGTAGTATTCTCATTGATCTGCATGGGGGGAGAGTTGGTTCGTGAGCTCCTGGGAGAGCTGGCTTGACGGTTGATAGTGAAGATTCGAGTTAGACGCTCCTTGGTCAGAGGTGTGTCTAGCTTGTTGTTGCTGGAAGGCGATACGGCCGGCCTTACGAACGGCAGTTAAGGCGGCTTTCGAGAGGCGCACGATAGCCCCTTTCTGTGTGTAGGGCCTAGCGGGGCATTTTGGGTAGTCCGCAGCATGCGGTCCATGGCAGTTGATGCATTGTGCGCGGCAGGTATGTTCCGGCTTGGACGATCCGCAGGAGACGCAGCGTTCGCTAGAGCGGCAGGCCCGCGTGTCATGGAAGCTGTGGCAGCGGGTACACTGTAGCGGCCGTTGCTTCGGGCGAGTAGGCCTAGATAGGCCGGAGGCGCCGAATAGCTGAAGTGCGTAGCGGGGCTTCTTTGGGAAGGCTATAACCGCTGTAACAGAGTCCGCTTCGATCTGGTGGTTAGAGAGCCTGGTTGTGAGCGGTTTTTGGCCGGTTACCCGCTCCGCCTCTGCACTAATATCGCTGATTGTAGTAGGCATCCAGCCACTATCGGGGTTCCAGATTCGCTGTGGGATACGGGAGACCACGACCTGGTGGTATTCCGTCGCGGCCTCGAAGTAGCCGTCCCCAGCTAGCTCTTTAGCCTGGGTGGAGAGTAGGAAGGCCGTGCCTTCGTCAGTTGCGGATATAGCGTAGCCTGTAGGGACAGTTTGAACTCGTGTGATTTCGCCGGGAACTTTGCATGCTACCATCTTGGGCCATAAGTTTGAAGACACCGCCTAATCGGGTAATTCTGCCATTTTACCCACCTACATTCAAATATATATATTGCATGCAATATGCAATATTATTGCACCAAATTTTGCTATAATATAGAATAACCAGCTACAAAGTATATAACAAAATTTCAATTACTAAAACCGAGTATAGTAGTCACGTGCCTTGCGAGTCTCGCTTACACGCTGAGGCATCGATCTAATTATACTATCAATTTTATTTTGATCTAGCGCATCCCAGGCCTCTGATATACACTCCCTAAATAGCTTCCAATCTGCCTCAGATGTACCACAATGTAATAGATTAGGATAGAGCTCATATAATTTACGTTTGAGCATACGCCATACAGGTTCAATAGGGTTAAGATCTGGCGAGCGTGGCGGCCATTCCATTACGTGTATACCATGACGTTCAAACCATCGCTGAGCAACGTAGGAGCGGTGGATTTTAGCGTTATCTTGCTGAAATATAGTTCCAGGTTCATAGTGTTCAATGAACCCTTCTTCAAGCGCTTTCAAGTAGGATTTCGTTGTATAACCCCCTCCGCGACCTCGCTGTCCTTCTGAAAAGTCACGCTCCATAATCACAAGTTTTGTACGCCCTCCGAGCCATATTCCAGCCCAAACCATTTGACAAATATCCTTCACATGAACCTTAACTTGCACCATTCCCTGCCGGTAAGCTTCTCCTCTAAGCCGGGTAACGTATTGGCCGTTTAAATTAGGGATACGTTGAGCGCTGCATTCGTCGGAAAAGATGAAGGTTTGTAGTTGGGAATTGTAGCGTTCAGCCCTCCAATTTCGGCAAAATCGGACTCTTTGCGGGCGTTCTCTCTTGAAATTGGGATACAACGTCTTGCTCGATAGCGCTGGAGGAATTTTGAACGTAGGAATCGCTTGATTGTTGATCGAGATGGATGGCTGGGTATACGGGCGCTCAGCTCACTAAGGCTTAGCCAAGGCTCACGGCGTGCAAGTAAACAGGTGTATTTGATAGTAGAGTACCTATAGACTTTAGGAGCACCTGAACGAGGCAGTGATTTAAGCGTTTGGTGCTCTCGGAATCGTTTGATTGTAGAGTATATACTTGAGCGTGCGACGTTGAACTCAGCAGCCATTTTAGTGGGCGATACACCACATTCATGAGCGTATATAATAGCTGCGCGGGCCTCAGATGAAAGCTCACCCCCTGGCCTTCGATTCCCACTTATTTCAGTGCCAAACCGACGCATATTGGTGGTGTAGGGGGTAGTTGAAGAAGATGGGTGGGGGGTGACGCAAATCGCGCTAAAAAAATAGCGCGATGTCTTCAAACTTCTGGACCGCCTTTGTAGTGTGACTCGGACGCCATGGGGCCCAATCTCCCGGAAGCTAGAGGAGCTTGGGAGTCGGAGGAAGATGCGGGGATCGGCTTCTTTCGTCTGGCGCTGGCGCTGGCGGGTTCGGTCGCGTTGTTTTGGTGCCGTGGTTTGCCAGGCTTCCTGGCCGGGCGCGGGGGTGGCTATCGAGGCCCAAGACTGGGCCCGCGGGATCTGAGGAGCTCGCTGGGGGGCAGTGGGAGCCGTGTGCTCAGGGAGCGGTAGAGGGCCTAGAGGGCCTTGCTGTGGTACATCGCGGCGGGCTAGGGCGATGAACTTTGCTGCGAGTGCACTTGCGAGCTCGCGTGGGCGGCCCTGTAGGGAGGAGATGACCGAGTCAAGCGCTCCGGCGAGGGAGGTTGTTGCTAGCTTCCAGTCGCTCAAGAAGAGGAGTTGGTCGTCCGCAGCTGCGCTGACCTGCTGGCGGACGGAAGGGGCGCGCGTCGAGGCCGGAAAGGCTGCCAGCGCCGTGGCAGGCGGCTTGCTCGGTGGAGAGACTGCTCTGCGTTTCAGGGAGCTTCGAGGGAAGGGAGTAGGCGTGGCAGGGTCCGAAGGAGGTTCGGAGGATTCGAGGAGGTGCGGAGTTCCCGGTCGAGGGTCGGCCGCAGGGGGGTCGTCGACCTCCATCTGGTGGGGCCGAGCGGTAGTAGAGATCAGTAGTGTATAGCCCTGTCACTTCAATTGTATCTTAGACAGAGATGAACCTCTGACTTCCCTTGGGGATGGTGGGGGAGTGTTGGAATATCCCGGTTGCTGAGATAATAAGAGGCTGGGATCACGTGCATACATTCACCTACCTCTCACTTCACTTGTATCTTAGACATGCAACATAACACACAATCAACTCCCCTCAATAATATGACCATTGAAGCATCACTTAATAAAACAACATGATTTTTCCGGGTGATTTCGTGTTTTCTACGGTTGATTTTTACCTCTTGGCCACTTCGTGATTATGATGAACCCACTTTCTATAGCCACTTGAGCATGCCGACCCATGGCAGCATCCGGGGGTATTCAGACGTCTGCCACAGGCGACGAGGCCGTGCACTGACGCGTCGCAGCGTCTCGCGTCGGGCACACGTGACATTCCCACTGACAGAAATATGACTGCTACTTTCGAAGTCAACAATTACGTCTTATCCACGAGTTATCACAAACTGACCTGGCATCTTTCGAGTCATAATTGAGCAATTGTAACCGTTGCGGCAATCGAGTGGCCCTACTTTACGAGGCTGCTTCTGCTGATGAGTTCATGGCGTTCGGTGATGACATCGAGGGAGGAGCATTCGATCTAGCACCGATTATCAGCAGCTGGCGCAAGGTGGTCGTTCGCCACTCACCGTGCTCATACCCCAGATGAGATCCCTTGTTACCAGTCGCGAACAGCACCCCGGCCGGACTCGTGGGAAAGGCCGAACCAGGGTTGTGTTTCACTGCCATCCGAGGTCAGCATGGTGTCTGGCGGTTGAGGAGTGGTAGAAACTTGCCGTAGATATAGTCGGGCATCAGCATAGGCAAGCTAGAGACGAGGTAACAGGCGTCAGCTCGATCCCACGTGCACGAGGGCCTGGGATCACTTTGCACCACGGGGAATGGATGAAGCCATACCTGCCAATGCACGGCTCTGGGCAAATCTTCAACCGTGTCAGGGCAAAGCACCCCTAGACAAGAGATTCATGGTATTTTTTTACGACAAACTTCGACCTGACCTGAAAATGACTGCTCTCGCGGCGAGGGATCTAGGGTAGATCTAAGCCACGGCCTGTCTTATCACTTGCTCAGCTGATTCAGTGGTTGAAATATCTGGCCTTTAGACTATTGCCAATAGCTCGTTTCAATTTCCTGATTGATGCTCCTCGGGGAAATAGTTGTCTTTTTCTGTGGCCGTCGATTCTCGGCTTCTCTTCGTTGTCGCGGATGCTCTGATGGCTCGCTCGGTCAACAGTGAGGCCGGCTCATGGCCACCGACAAGCCTTCGGATTGGACGTGGGGCAGGAGGTTCATAGCCGTCAGAATATTGCGAGTTACTAATACATTGACTGTCAACCTTTGCCCGGACAGGGTAATGCCGAAGAGACGAATGAAAACACTTTGGAATTTTACCGTATGGCTAAGCAGAGGGCATCAAGCCTTTCTGCCTTGGGCCCGCTAATAAGCCAGGTGAAGTGGCCGTGTCAACCACGTCTTCAGAGACAACAAAGGCGCAAGCGTAGTGAGATTCAGTGGCTTGGCCCACCAGGCTGGTGCAGCTGGTTTAGTTTCGAGGACGAGGGGGGAACATCGCTCGGTCAGGTCGAGTGTAAAATTGAAGCTCGCCCTATGACGAAAAAGAATCATCAGCGGTCCTTTCTGAAGAACGAAGAGCCACGAGCGGATAGCGATCATTTTGAGATTGAAAATGCACTACTGGGCGTCGGGAATGGGCAGGGAAAAAGCACTAGGGGACTTACAAGACAATGAGCGCCTCGCGATAGAAAGTTCGCCATTCTATACAGAGGGTCGTCAGCACATCATATCTGCCTTGAAAATTTCTGCAGTCTTTGAACTTACGTTGTCGGTTATTGCTGTCCGCTGCAGGGGACTGTATAAAGGATGGTACCTAATTATCTTCAATCATTATCAGGTAGCTTATGAAGGCAACTTGTAACTCACCGTGCTCGTAGTTTGGACCATTGCAGATCCTGATCCTGAAGGTTCGTTCAATGGCTTCTCAGATGAATAGCGGAGGCGGGGCTGATATCGAGCATTTTCCATGTTAGCATGATTCCAAATGACTGGGCAGCTACACTCACTTGCTGTTCGAGGACCTCTTGTGTCGAGAAAAGCCAGGCTAGTGCGATGCAACAAGTCAGTCAATCTCGTTGCACGATTTCGAAGTCAACATACCAAATAGTAGCCACGGAAACGAGAATTGACCTATATTATTCGACCCGAAGTGACAAAGGAATGCTTGCGAACGACGGTTCTGCTGGTGGCAAACCAGGTATTTATAGCAATTCAGCCAGGCATCCAGTCTGCGTCAATGAGATCATCATTATGAATTGTGAGGGTTCAAACAAAAACTACTCTTCAATGATCACTGGCTCAACATTTCATCATTGATGCAAAGCAGCTCTCAGAGACATTGCATTTTGTTCCTGGTGATCAAGAACATGAAAGATATTTTCTGGCTGTTGGCATTGTTTCAACAGTCATGAGGATGCCGCAGAAAAGAACCGACGACGGTGATAACCATTCATCGCCGTGAGTCTGCCCTTTAATCCGACGGGTGAGGCGACGAGGTTATGTCATTTCATTTCACTCACCGATGATGAGCCCGTTACACTACCCAGAATGCCTCATCAAAAATAGGTAAACGTCATGCCATGTTGCGACCCTAGCTTCCTAGCAGCTAAACCGCAGGATTCTTCATTGTCTACCTTGTATTTCGGGGACAATCTACCACGCCTACACACCACCAAGCAGATGCCAGCTATGGTGCAGTGCGGAACAGATCCGCACAGCCCCCATCCCCATCTCACAACAAAGCCTCTTTTGTAGTGTGAGTTGTTAGATCGATTAGGCTTCCGCAGAACACTTGTCTGCCATCAGCCTCGTCTTTGGTAAGTCAATTCCCACAGTCAGTCTCCTGGAATTATAGTGGACAAAGGAAGTTGGGTACTATACAAGGTAATATGAGCCAATTAATACCATGAAAGGCTCACATGCGCACAAACCTTTCGTGAAATGATTGGCTGGTTCCCAGCGGTGGCTCCTAGGATCTAGCGAGTTGTCGAGATTAATGCTATCATTGGATACTACGAATACAATGATATCTGCCAGGGCAAAAATCGGCGCCGTCAATGACCCACAGGCACCACACAGACTCAAGTAGAAATAACTGGTCCGAATTTGGCTGTGAGCTCCTAGGAACCTGTGGCTTATACTGCCTCTGCCTTCATTGGATAGTGATCAGCGGGGTAATGGTTCGTATTGGGCATGTCTGTGTCGTTAATCACTGGGGAAGGGGAAATTCTCCGCTTGTCTCAACCGCGCTTGTCTCTTCGGCGCTCAGAAAGGTGATTCAGAAAGGTGATTCAACTTCAGAAAGCGCCCGAACTTCTAGCTTCTACTACCCATTGGACACTCAACCCCAATTTTGGTGATTCTTTTGGTTTTTTCATCCTGCAAGTGGTTGCAAATTCAGCCCTACTACCTCAACAAAATTTTTGCCTGTTAGAGCTCAAATTTGTCACCTTCCAAAATAAATTTGAGTATAGTACTGCAAGCAGATATTTTACTGAGGTTTAATTCCTATTTGCTCTATAAATTCAATCGATCTCCTCATCACAACCGGATATCTCTGACGAGCAAGGCCTTTACCAACAGTACCTTGCAAAACAATTCTTTCAAATTTCCTCTCCACTCACCATCGTAATTGCAACTGACAGTATGCGCCTCTTAATCTTTCCACTACTTGCTGTTTTCTATGCAAAGCACTCTATTGCTGGCACTCTAAGCATTGTCGATGTTGGTAGCCAGTGCATGATATGGTCGAATGATAACCACGGCTGCACGGGACATTCGACACCATTTAGTCTGCCAAATGGAGAAGACTGTTCGAGTGAGCAATTCAATCTAATAGAAAAATGATAAGGAGACTAACAGGCTATTAGAACTAGGCGGAAAAACCAAGGGCGAGAGTCAGAACCTTCCCATGGTCTCGGTCGAAGCATGCACTACGGCAAAAGGCCTGCCAGCGGTATGGATCTTGTTGGAGAAAACTGGGCGGATCACTTTCTTCAACAAGCAAGGAAACATTTCGGCCTGTACAATGAGCGATGGACTCAAAGTTGGTAGCATGTGTGAGGCTGTGGATCCAGAAGTCCTCCGTGCTTCAACCCTACATTGAGAAAATACTCAACTGTCGTCCATCCGTATCCAACTCTCCAACTTTATTATTGTGAGAAACATCGAGCCGAATGCGGTGTGGGCTTACAGCGACAGGGAAACCTTTGATATGAATTAGATGCAGTGCTGCTCAAACAAATTCATTTCGAGATCAGGTAGCCGTTAGAGACAGATTCTAGTGGTTCGCAAGAAGCGAGCCCTCCAATGCACATTATGCAATATATTGGTCGTATAATCACCTCGTAAATAGTACAAGCTATTTACAAACTGAAACTAAATATTGTCAGCTGTCCTATCATGTAAGCTTGACAGGTGAAAGAGAGCATCCCAAACGCAGTAGCCCATACCCTGGGAATTCCGCCTAGAAGAAAAGTACCTAGCAGTAAAGACAATACTATGAATGAAGTCGGACAATACGCAGTTTTTTCGGGCCCTGCATGAAGTGTTTTACGACATCATGTAGGACAGTAATACATTACAGTGTCAGGTCATTTCATTCGGATGGTGCAGGAAAAGCAAGGTAGAGATACAATGCAGGAATGCTCCAATAGATCTCAGTAAGATCTTTGACACCTCAGAGGTCAAAGCATTTCCTCATTGAAGAAAAATATTATTCTCCATTCTGTTCCTCAATTTTAAGACATCAAGGATTTGGTCCAAGTAATCAAACCAGCTGATGCAGCGATCAAGTCCATTTTTAGCACGTATTACAAAATCTCGTGTAGATTCTCTAGACGAGATACTCAAGGTTATACTAGAGAGTTTATGTTTCATTCCAGTTAAGGACCTCGATATCCGAGGACGTCTCGCGAGCTACTACGATGTAGGTTCTGATACTCACTCGATAGCTGTGTCAGGTCGTTTAGAAGGATGGGGCCACGTCAAACCTCTGGGCCTCGCATATACCTCACGGAAAGGGGTGAGCAGCAACGGCGTGACTCAAGGCCGCCCGAGTTTCTCACACCGACTTTCGAGGAGAATTCTGCATACCACTCCTTTTTAACCCTTGATCAATTTTAATGATATGGGACTTTGCATACACGATGAGCTATATGCATGATGAACTGCAAACGCGAGGGGCCTTGACTGAGATGAGAAGAAAGTCGACGAGTTGGGGGGTGTAACAGAGCTACCACCCTCTTCAATCTTCATATTTCATTCGTCTTCAAAGTCACCTCTTTCTATTCGACCTGTTTTGTAATTGTGAGATGGATGAGTAGCTGTCCATGTGACAGCTATTAGCATCGAGTGAGAAACCCGAGGCTAGAGGGAGGTTAACAGACCTTCTTGTTCTGATATGAGGCTGGTGCAGATCACGAACCAAGCCGAACCATCGGAATTAATCCCGAAGTATGTATACGAAGAACCAAGTTAATTGAAAATCAACTTGATCTTCTCGTTGTATATATATAGCCTCATGTTTTTCTCCGAATAATTAATAACAAAAATATACCTCTGAGCTACAACAATCACAACACTTTGCATCCCCGCCGTTTTACTACACCAGAATGGCTTGACAAATCGTGCGCTCAAACATATTCTTTCTTGTCAACTAACAAAACGGCATGCTTAAAATACAACTCCTCTGGCTCATTATATGTCTCAACCCTATGAGGTCTTGTCCGCAATTGGGGTGCAGAGTTCGACACTTTCTCTACCATACGTTCCGGTAGGCGGTAAGAGCGGTAACCTTTTGATTTTATCACTGTACTGTGCAGTGCGATGTACGGCTCGGATTAATAGTTCCTCCTGGCGCCTCGAGCCACAGGCCGTCAAATGTCCAGCACTTGGGTATTCAATCACCACCGCTTCACAAGTGCTCCAAAACTAAGCACTATCCGTTTAATAGCGATCTATCCGAAGTCACTCACACACCAAAATAACCATGGCATCTCCCCAAAACGAAAACATATTATACAATGACCTTTCCGACCTCCCAAAACGCTTTTTCACCGCCGTAGACCGCAAAGACCTGAACGGCTTACTCGCCCTCTTCGCGTCCGACGCTACGCTAACCGTGCAAACGGACCACATCACCCTACATGGGGCTACCGAGATCCGAGATATGTTCGTACGGTTCATGGATTCGTCAAGGACATTGTCGCACCAAATCATTGGAGTCGTTGTCGATACAGGGAATAGGCGCATCGCGACGGAACAGCGGTATTCTGGAACGCTGGCGGATGGGACGATTAATGATATGTGCAACTGCAATTTTTTTGATGTCGGGCCTGATGGGCGGTTTACAAGGGTTGTCATTTGGATGAGTGGGGGGGAGCCCGTTGAAATAATGGCTGTCGCTGTCTTTGCATGGGAGTACTGGGCAAGCCGGAGGAACGAAAACAAACGAAACGGATATTTATTCTGAACTACACACAAAGGAAGAGAGATATTGTAGTTCAAAGGAAGATTGATCTCTTATTTCAGAGGGAATACGTGAAGCTATATACATACAATGAGAAGATCAAGTTAATTGGAAATCAACATGACTCTTCCTATAGACACCTCGGGAATTATATCCGATGATGCGGCTTTGTTCCTGATCTGCACCAGCCTCATATCACAAGGGATTCCCTCGTGCCGAGATTCTCTGCCCTACGGGCGCAAAATAGTACCTTCTTCGCATGATCACTCGCTTGGAGCAGTCAGTAGAGCCAGCATTAGCATCCGGGGTATGGCGATCACGGACGTCAGATTGAAACAGTACACTTTCCAGGCCTTAATACCTCTCAAGGTTCGTTGTGTGTTTGTATGTTTCATTTACCCTGGCCCCTCACAAAGCCCTCTCCTGCGGGTCCCTGCGGGGGACCTAAAATGATTACGTATTTCTCAGCTTGCGAATTGTTGCGAAACTTTCTTTCAAGTCGACTGACCTGTAAGGCTAGAATTCTGAGGATATCTGAAGCACCCCTGCTATTTTCGAACGTTGACTCATCCATCCAACGAAGAACTTTTTCTATCGATTTTTCCGAGGCATTTTTCTGGTCATGGTCTATGATAATTGCTGATCAACCTCGGGGGAGAATGTGGTCTTAGCGACTCCGTAGAAAATTCCAATCTTTGTCTCAGGCCTAGGAACTTCTCATCCTCCCTGAGACACACTAGCCTTGTATGGTAAAGTGGACATCCGGGAAGCGTGCTTTACACGGTTCTACTCAGGGGTTATCTCAGATATCTTTAATGCTACTCAATTTGGTGGCATATGCGACTGCTCCTTCTAGATCCTATCCCCTATCGTAGCATACTACACTTCGAATTGGAGGTTGAATTTTGGAAATGAATATTGTATCACAAGGGGTCGATTTTTCATGCTTCATTATAAGTCTACACTGTTTCGGGATTCCTACTGGATTCGCGCCGTGGGGTGGTAAGAAAGATATCGTTAAAGCTCGTTGAGCATCACCGTATGCTAATGGTTGTGAGAACACGAAATCGGCCCAATTTCATTTCCCCCATCCTTACTGTAGGCTGTCGTCTTATCGTCTGTTGTCTTATCGTCTGTTGATATCAGGAATAGGGCGGGGAGCTCTGATGGGACAAAAGTGGAGTCACGGGACGACCCATGTCATGCTAATCGTAATGAGGCGGAGTCAACAACCAATAATTGAGCTGTGGAGCAAGGTGTGGAGTACCGTGCAATAGTATTGTTATAATACGGATCACTCGTAGAGTGTATCGAGATCCATACAAGTGCATACCGGCACGGCTTACAGTGAGCCCCACGAGTCACGGAGACGACGGGAGAGAACCACCGGGAACCTTTCAGAGCATTGAGACGAGAAAGTGCCAAAAAACAGTGGAAAGTTAAAATCCAGAGAAAATCCGAGAAGCATAGAATACTGCCCGCTCAACCAGTTCATGAACAAAAAACTGGGATTTCGGTTCAATTGGTGCCTTGGATCTGCACACCTGCATTCGTTGATCCCCGCCTCAAAACAGGGTTATATTTCCCTCTTTTTCAGCTTGAGGATTCTGAAGTCCTCAGTCTGTCCTAAAATGACAGTCAAAGAGCAGATAGTATTTACTTCCACGGACGCGGAGAACGCAGGAGCCTCAGATTCTGCTGAGGAGCTTGAAGTCTTCAAGAAGACTACGGAAGGTTTTAGCTTTCGCGATGTGGGCTGGTTCAAAGCGTGCATTCTGTTCGTGAAAGTTCTCTTCGCGACAGGCGTGCTGTCGCTGCCTTCGGCGCTGCTCTCGCTCGGTGTTGTTGGGGGTGCGATCAGTATCGTCGCCTGGGGCGCATTCAATACGTATGCCTTTGTGGTACTGGGCAACTTTCGCTTGCGTCGCCCTCACTGTCACTCTATTGCGGATATGGCGGAGGTGGTTGGCGGCGTTATTGGGAAAGAAACTACCGGCCTTTTATTCATCATCGGCTATGTTCTCGTCACAGGTAGTGGAATCGTCGGGGTGTCTACAGCATTGAACGCCCTCTCGCACCATACAGCTTGCACAGTCTGGTGGTCATTTGTGGCGATGATAGTAGTAATTGCGACGGCCTCAGTCCGTAGGCTCACCTATATTGGTTGGCTTACTTATGCAGGCTTTATTTCTATCTACGCTGCGGTGTTGATTGTGGTCATAGGTGTTACTACACGAGATCGACCGGCTGCTGCTCCCCAGAGCGGCCCCTACGACCTTGGTTATGTGGCTATCAACAATCCAGGTTTCGCATCTGCGATGGTTACCTCTAGCACTATTTTCGTCTCTTCCGCTGGTACGAGCGCCTTTCTCCCTATTATCTCAGAGATGCGAATCCCGAGAGACTATAAGAAGGCACTATACCCTTGCATAGTGCTAGTCACCGCATCGTATCTTGCCTTCAGCCTAGTTGTCTATCGTTGGTGTGGACAATGGGTGGCTAGCCCGTCATTGGGGGTAAATTATACTCACCTACCCAAACTCCAATCTGTGAGATTTGTACTGTGGACTAATGAGGCCCCTATATAGAGCGCTGGTCAAACAATCAAGATAGTATCCTATAGTGTTGGTTTGCTAGGACTGGTCGTCAGCGCCAAGCTCTACCTTCATGTAAGGATTTGCTTATGTCCCCTTCATATGAGCTCCATAACTAAAACTGATATCTAGATTGGCGCTAAATACCTCTTTGTAAGGATTTTGGGCAAGACACGTCATTTGCAGGCAAACTCAGCAGTCTATTGGGGGACCTGGCTTGCCTGTACCGTTGTTCTAGGCGCAATCTCTTTCCTCCTCGCTGAGGCTATTCCTATCTTCAACTATCTGATTGCTTTGGTGGGATCTGTATGCTTTGCTCCCCTTGCTATATCTCTTCCCGGATTACTTTGGCTATACGACCATGGCCACTACTTGAAAGGCTCTCTTGCGCAAAAGGTCAAGTTTTTCTTTCATATTGGAATGGTCCTTCTCGGTATATTTTTTCTCGTTGGTGCCACCTATTGCGTCATTTTACTTATCAAGGCGGCCTACGCCAGTGGAACCATTGGTATGTGCGAGAGAGGCTCAGAACACGATAGCATCTATTTATTAACGTCTACAATAGGTGGGGTATTCTCCTGTGCCGACTACTCGAATTCCTCCTGAACTCCATGAACTGGTCTTTATGGGAGAAAGTGACTTGTTAATAAGCCGATCTGAGACCTCGCAATTAAGAAAATGCGACGTGCTAGGTTGAGTTATGGTGAGCATGCAGGAGGAAAAGGGGAAAGGATTTGTTACAGATGATGATGATTTCATTCGCGGATCTGTCAAGGGTAGACCCGATTTGCTGGCAGGGCACTGTAGCAGGAAACTAGATTATATGACATAACTTACAATTCCTTCGCCCCTAATCCTTTTGTCTCTGCCTCCCGCCCCTCAACTCTGTCTCATAACCATCTGACGAAATGAAGGAGCGATCAAATACCACTAGGACCCTTCGGGATAGGCTTATTAATCGTTCACACAATGCCCCCTAGTATGGTGTCATAACACGCCATAGTTCGATTATATAGACCCCTGAGATCGCTTAACCGATCTCAATGACCTTCAATCAATCATCTGATTCTTTTGGACATGTTCAGTACTAGCCATTACATAAATTCCTCATCCTGACACCATCCATCAAAGGCCTTGCCAAGACGAGTATTACAGACAGAATAGATGTTGGAGTCCATGTGAATTATTCATAATAAAGGTCTCGTCCTGGGATCCATATTTCATTCTTATAAGCCCACTTTTTCGTCGTTTCTATTATCAAATTCATTCATGCTCAAAATTTGGAGAAATGTACTTAGTTGGCACGAAGGGAACTTCCAAGCATGTTAAGCCAAGTTCACAATCACTTGCCTCATCGGGTGAGACCCAGACGCTGAGGCCGACAAAGAAGATCAAGAGCAAAACCAGCTTTTTCCCTTTTAATGATAAACTTTTCAGCCCGCTGTGGGTCTCTGGTCAGATTGATTGGAGGTGGCGGTGTGGCGTAGAGCCACCCAGTCAATGTGTACCGCAAGGTAAACCAAGTTACACGCTACTAAAAAAGAAACACCCCATACGAAATCCACGATGGTGGTGAATCGGTGAATCTTCGGATAAACGCCCAATTATCCGTGACACTACTCCGTGCGCAAAATCCTACGATCGCCCCGTTTCGCTTCTCTTTTGATGAACCTAGACTTAACTAGCCCTACCAGCTAGTTTAGTGATTCCTTCGCTAAACTTAAATGCACTTAGACTTTTTGGGGCCTCTCCCAGGCGGACTATTCTCTTTTACTCCGTACTGTAATAGATACTGCGTACAGTACCAAGTAGTCGTTATCGTCAAGATCTGTCAGAGATGAACTAGTATGCATGATGGTGAATGAGAACTACCGGAATCATCAGATGAAAGATTGATTGATCGGAGAAAAGACAAATGAAGAGAATGTGGAAAAGGGGCAGGTTGAGCTGTACCATGACGGTGTAACCGAATATCCAAGTGACCATATGAACGTTGGCCGGCCGCCCGCAAATACATGTAAGATACATATGAAAAGATCGTCACTAACCGACTAATCATAAGTCACTATAATGATAGGGTCCACTTTTCCTTGACAAGATCACTATAAGCATGGGAGAGTCTCTTTGGCATCCTCCCGTACTCTCGTTCTCGTGTCTTGACTCCAGACGCGAATTGTGCCTGGATATATCCTATGACACACTGTCTCGGTTCAACTTGTTAGTGTTAGCCTTCTAGCAGCCCTCAATTGCTAGTTGTGGCCGAAGGCTTTAATGCTCACCCTGAGTATCATGTTGGCCTCTCCTTTCGAGAATTAACAACCGACCAGAAAACTTGACCTCACGAAATCAAAGACTCATCAAAGACTCCAAGGATGACACAGCAACCTGCCATCCCGCCACCAGTAGGGCTTTCCTCTGATTTTTCCCACCCCAAAGGTGTTTTGCATACAGTGAACCTTGTAACACAAGTGTTGTGTATCATACTCGTTACGATATTCGTGTCCATACGGATATGGATCAAAGCCCAATACCACCGAAGCCTGAGTATTGAAGACTGTGGGTTATACCTATGTCCTAAATTTAATGTGCTTCAGATTTAACCATCTTCTTCGACAGATTTGACAATTGCTGGATGGGTATGAACTCTTGAGAGCTCTGCTGGTGGTTTCGAAGGCTGACTCTTCGAAGGCGTTATTCATAGGGTTTTGCGCGAGCATGCTTATACGTGCGGATCTGATTTTCTGGCAAAAACATTACAGGCACTGCTAACTAGGACTCAGTCAATGTCTACGGTGGTGGATACAATGCATGGGATGTCACCGAAACTGAGTTCGTCAAGTTTCAAAAGGTTTGAATCATCTCCAGCCCTTTTTTTCCTATTCCAGTGAACCAACAAGCAAATCAAAACCAGGCCTCGTACGCGACCACTCTGATCTATGTCCCGATGGTTTTTGTTATCAAGCTCGCCCTTCTAGCAGTTATGGCGAGGATTTTTGCTCCCCATCGTGAGAAAGTTAAAGTCATATACATTAGCATCGGCATCATGCTGTGCTACTACATCCCAGCATTTTTCATTAAGGTCTTCTTCTGTGACCCTATCTCTATATACTGGCTTGGCACTTCTAACGGTGGTAAATGTCTTGACCAGCGGAAGGTCATCATTGCTGATTCAGTCATCAGTATCGCCGGCGATTTGTGGATTCTTTTGTTACCAGTTCCGATGATCTGGTCGGTCCAGATGACAAGGGCCAAGAAGATGCGAGTTGTCGGGATTCTAGGTGCTGGGGACTTGCTACGGGGTTTAGTATCTGGCGACTTGTGATCATGGTGGAGGAAAGCAATACGAACAATACGACTTGGTTCTGGATTCACTGTGTTCTGACTGGGTACGGAAACTCGCGCCTCTCTTTGCTAGAATGATTTTGCGAAGGCATCGCTGATCGAGTATCAACAGGAACGCAGAAGCAGGTATCGGGCTAATCTGTGCTTGTCTACCTGCGATGAATCATTTCTTCGCTTCAGTCAAAAGCTCGAGGAGCAAAACCTCTGATAGTGTCTATTTGAAGAACCATGAACTTGGGAGCTGGCAAAATAATTCCAGTCGCACTGCCGCCCATACAGTCCCCGAAAACTTCTTTCTTCCCAGTCAGAATGATCAAGCACATCTAATTTCTACTGCCGCTGGTCCTGACGGTCGTGAGAGCTCTATTTACAGTCTCCGCTCCGAGGTACATACCACCAACTACGATGGAATTAGCAAGAATATCACAGTGTCATAAAGTTTCGAGGTTGTGAAATAACGATGTTCCAGGTAGCATCTGCGCAGATAGTTGTTACCGTTGTTATCACATTACTACTTGCCTCCGGCCTTCAAGGCTTTTATATTTTCTAGTACGGCGCTGCAGATATCGCTCTATTGATTACAGTGAAGTGATTTCCAGGAAAAAAATAAAGCAGCAAATAGGTTCTGTGTAATATGCTACCTCATCCTTTGGCCTGTATGGATGCATGCGCATTCACGCCTGACCTATGATGGTAATGATACCTCTGCCATTCCCAATATCAAGAATAATCAAGTTGAAGGGAGGCAATATCAATTAGCGCATTACGTATTGTAGTGTCGAAATGGCCTACGGAGTGGGAATCGGATTGGTCACAGACGGTCAAGGGGTGTCAACAAACCAATCACCAAACCACCACAAACTGCATACCGCATCGGGGATAGGACGGAGCTGAACCTAAAACAAAAGTGTTCTGTGAAAGGTGATGGGAAGAGTTGTTTTAATCAGAAGGGAAATAAAAGTCTTGAACGCTGTGTAGGAAACGAAAGCTAAAGGTAAGTAGACAGTACTGCATGTTGCTTCCGAGACAAAATGGAAACTGACACGCACATCGTATCAAAATTGGATACAAGTTCGTTCCCTTGCCAAATTTGCAAGAATGCTGGTCTTTCCTGTACTGGGAGTGATCCAGACTTCATGCCCAAGGCTTCCTCGGCCGCTACTCCCTTGAGTCTAGTCAAGTGGTTGCAGGATCAAATTACGAAACACTAAGGCGACGATCAGAGCCTGACAAGAACCATCACGGCGGAGAGAGTTGCCGGATTATCTGGTCCCCCACCTGCTCAACTCATGAGGACGACTGTGGCCGATGCAGTTGGAACCGATAATTCCGGTAAAGGTGGCGGACTTTCTACTGGAGAACTATGTCTTGAGAACAGTCCCGTTCTATCCTATCTTTTACGAACCTTAGACTCGGGAATGTCATGCAACGGTTTTTCACCAGCCTGGAGAATGTGACGAAAGGGGTGAGACGGCGAGCCCATATCAAACCGTGTGATCAGTCTCGGGATAGCATTATCTCTTTCTACGGCAGCTCACTCCAATCAGGAGCGAGCAATTGGAATAGCTTTTAGATTGTGTTACCATGCAACCAGCTATTTGCCCGAGGTTTAAACCAATAACTTTGCCGGTCTCCAGGTCTTGATACTTCTAGTTTCTTACACTACCACCAACCCGGCGGTGGCCAATATGTATTTTCTCAGTGGCGTTATGATGCAGATCTGCATTGCTATGGGACTACACCATGTAGACGATAAAATCCCAGATTATTTCCTGACTAAGGACATTAAACTGTACTATGGGCTGCTTGGGAGTTGGATGCCTCATGCAATGCAGGAATTTTTCGGAAAGCGACACTACTATCGCTCCAGATCACAACTCCCTTTCCTTCTGAGCTCGAGGATAAGGACATCCGGCCCAATTTCCTCGACCCTACAGAAAAATCAACGAAGTTTTTCAGTGGGCGAGTACGCTTGTGCACGCGCTTGTCATTCCTATGACGTTGTTAGTATTGCAGGCCACCTAGGGATCGTCTAAGACACTGCAAGATATTTTTCGCTCTTCCCTGCAGTGCAATTCTACTTTGGTGAGGACTGGAGTTTACAGAAAGAGACAGAGCAATATCTTGGTACATAGAATTCTGGCCAATTTTGAGGACACTAAAATGCTTGATTAACGCCACGGGAGCCAGTCAATCGGACCGATGCACGACTATTTCTCTGTTGAGTCCTTAACCCTCGAGGGTATAGAGCAGAGTTCCCCATCCTAGCTGATCGTAACCACCACTGTCCGAACCGTAATCACCGGAGCCTCCTTCAGATCCCCCTCCGTTCTCCACGACCAAGTCTCTATATTTCTTCGTCCATGTGGTGTTCAGACCTTTGATAACCCCATAGTGGTTGTAAAGCAATTCCCAAGTTGGACGGATGTTACCGCGACTGGAGTTGCTGATGGTTGGTAAGCCCAAGTACTCGTTGCCGTATGCCTTGTACGGAACATCATAGCCGAGATTGTATCTAGCTTCGTACTCAGCGCTGAAAAGTTTTGTTAGCAAGAAGGAACATCTGAGTGGATTATAAATTGCAGTAAAGTTAGAATGGAAAACATACGCAGACAAAATGATGCTATCATTGTGAGCGAACAGATCATCTCCTTGGTTATAGGTCATTTGACCTATCGCCGCGAAGAGCGCAATATCCAGCATGGTATGGCCTTGATCCCGGCCAGTCTCCATTGGCTGACCCAGTACTTGATTATCATACCAATAGGTATATGGAACCGCATTATTGATCTGTCCATTCCCAGTTCCGTTAAGGAACCAGTTCAGGCCTTGTTGATATATGGTTTCATTGTCGGCGAGAACTCCAATCGAAACTGCGGCAGCGATCTGGGACAAATCCCAGCCAGGGTACACACCTCCACCCCAGGAGCCCCAGTTTTCATGGCCCACAAACCATTGATTAATTGCTGGGTAGAAGACGCGCAGCATCATTTTGGCGAATCGATTGAAATGCTTCCATCCGGTATAAGTACGCATGATTTCAGCAGCCTGACAAAATTCGTAGCCATAAATTCCGACCGCAAGATATAAATCCACGGTACCACTAATCTCAGTAAGGTTCGCGGACCACGCATCAAGGATACCGACAGCGGCGTCTGCGTAGGTACTATTTTCCGTCACAAACCACCGAATAGCAAGCACATAGGCCGCTGCAACATCTTGGTATAATTGGGCATAGTTCTCAGCATGGGTGCTGTCGTAGCCTCGGTAGATGATAGATGCTGGGTTTGGTTTGTAGGAAGGATCGGAATACGGACTGTCGAGAAGTTTGTTCCAACCCTCCAGCCAGGGCTCAGCCCCCTCGTTCACTTTCTCCCGGATACGATCAAAGTCTTGAGAGGTGTGGAGAAGCCCCGGGTGCGTAAAGTTTGAGCAAGCAGAAGCAACGTATGCCCAAAAAAAGAAGTAAGGAAGTCCTTTCATGACGCCGAATACCAGTCCCCTACGAATAGGATCTTGGTCTGTAAACTGGAAATTTAAATGAATGTCAGAAGTATCTAAAATGACTTCAAAAGGAAGTATTTGGATGGAGTTGATAAAGAGTGAATATAGCAAGAGACGAAGAACATTGCGCTAGGAGGCTTCTTTATATGTCGTCCAGAGAGGCTATCTCATGTATAACGCTTCACTAGTTCTGGAGCGCTCTATTTAAACAAAACACCGGAGATTACTTCTAAATCCGTGAGCTTTCCGCTGGCTGCATTCACAGTCATGAACAAGCCTTAGAAACTTTGGAAATTAAGGCGAACAAATATTAACCTTGCAAGTAGACAAGGAACCCACACCCCACTTCCCTATGAGAAGGCAAGGATTTAGCATTTTTAGGATGAAACAACACTAGACGATTACGAAATCCTGACCCATCACGCGTGACAGTCTTCTGAACGATTTTATAACAGTCATTGGCTATGAAAATTTCACCCGGAATAGGGGTCCCACATTATCAAGCCCTAAGCCAAGTAAGGAAGAAATACCGAAATGATCGCAGTGGCGCAAGGATAGCTAATGGGTGAACACCGATGAGGGTTCTTCTTCTACTGTGATTGATGATGTTCTCCGAAAGCTCAAGGCCAAAAATGTTTGTATCTGGGTGAAAAGTCGGTGACGGAGGCAGGCAGCTCTTGTTCGTCGGCCCAGATATGTCTCGAATTAAAATGAATTCAGAATTAGGCTTGGGCCGTTCATATATCAGACTTTTACAGTTTAATATGCAGTTGCTATGGGAGAGTTACAGTAGCTGCACGCTTTGGTCATTAATTTCATTATTGGCGCTGCTTGGCTCACTTTTTCACTCTTTTTTTTTTATCTTCTCTTCTCTGTCAATCGTTGCCTCTTCACTCGAGCACCATGAAAGCTTTTCGATTTTTACTTCCCTTACTTCCTCTGGCATCTAGCTTCAGCCACCCCGGGTTGCTAGTCACCGAATCCGATCTGACCAGGCTCCAAGGGAAGCTGTCCACCCAACTGGAGCCATGGTAAGCTTGCTGGAACAAGGTGGGTCCATAGCGACTGCCAACGTTCCTTACACCCCCAGGCTGTGAGCGCCGTTGATCGCGACAATGAAGCCAATGCCGATCTGCTATGGCAAGATGCCGCTGCACCCTTCGCGCTAGCCCTTCGCTGGAAGGTTGAGAGTAATACCTCGTATGCTGGTGCTGCGACCGATACCCTGAATTCCTGGGGCGAAAAGCTTACTTCCATCGGGACTAGTGACGATCAATACTCGGCCAAAAGAACCGGCTGGCGACTTTCCAAGGAAGCAACGTTATATCTGAGCTTCACCTGGGCTTCAGAGACATGTCTCTTTATGTTATTCTGGGTATATAGCCGCTGAAGAGCATGATCCTTGCTTTTCCCACCCAGAATGACACATAACAATGGATACTGATTTTCTGGATTGGCCATTACTGCCCCGATGGAGGACAGCATGGTGGCCAATACGGGTGACGGATGGCCGATGGCGGCTAAATGCAAAGTAGTTCACTTTGGTATAAATGCTTTGTCAGTTTTCTTGTACTGGTGGTAGAATTTAGATGGATGTAGTGAGACGTGGAGATTTTCAACGGCAGGGATGGGTGGCGCGCGTTGATGGTGTGTTGAGGTGAATGTTGCCGGGAATACTAACTAATGGTGAGTGGAGAAGGTTCAATCGCCGAGCGGTGAAACTGGACAATCAAACTAGAAACACACACTTTGTTTCTAAACGACCCACTCCGACTGTGCTAAGCCATCTTTGGACAGAAAAGGTTCCCTCTGTGGAGCTTACAGCGTATGATTAGCTGTAAGAGACTCTGAACCCAGGCGATTCGGGCCACTCTCAGTTCGTTAGTAAGCCCTGGATCTTTCAAAAGTGGGTAGGTAGACGGCGCTTTGGTAGTACCAAATAGAAGACTCGGTACCCTGCCGGGAGAGAACCTCAGCAATGACTATGAGGAGAGTCTGCGGGCGTTTCCCACGGTTGGTGTCTGCGCTCAGCTGCGAGTGTGGCATAGACTATCCGTGGCGGATGAATCAAGTTCAGAAATAAATTCATTGTTTTTGAATAGTGCTTATGGGTACGTTGGGGGTAGCATTGTATCAGCGCTATCCAATGATGGCAGGTAGAATGGTAGCCCTAGGCTCCTAGGAGCTCATAGACAAATTTGGACCAATCATATCTACCGAGACTATGTGGTGTATGTGGGTTGTCCACGGCATCGATTGGCTCCTTATTCCTCGGCAGATATCATTGTATTCGTAGTATCCAATGATAGCTTTATATTGACGACCCACAGGCCCCTGGGAGCCATGGCCAGACATCAACCAATCATTTCACTGAAGACTTGTGGCATGTGGGCCATTCAGGGCACTGATTGGCTCATATTTCCTTGTAGTAGTACCCACCTTCCCGTGTCCACGTAGTTCCCAGGAGATCGATGTGGGTATTGCACTACGCAAAGACGAGGCTGAGGGCAGAAACAATTGTTCTACGGAAACGTAAGTTAATCGACATGATAACTCCCTCAGAAAATCACTTGATGACCTTCTCCTTGGTGTATCTCCAAGGTTTGCTAATTGAATCCCATTGCCTAATGTGCAATGAAGAGTTTTATGTACATACTTGAAATCATGTTAGATGATAATAATCTCAAATGAATCACTTATAATGTAGGTCCCAATGATACATGTAGGTGAAGAAGCACGTGTGCTGAATGACTGTAGGAAGGCTTGGGTCAAGCCTGGCTGAACGCACAGCCCCTAATTATCTTAAAACAAAGCTCCTTGTTCTCCAATCTGGTCTTGCCAACTCTCTTTTCTTACTCTTTCAGAAGCTATGAAGAATTGACAGATAGTTTCGGTATGGGTGGAATTGCTGCTTGAATATGTTGTGAGATTGTGATAAATCGAACTTCTACCCTTCATTATCAATACCTGACGAGAGAATGGAAGCAAGCGGGCTGTTATTGTACATGGAGGAGCAGCTTCATACGCCTTTTTGTCTTGACTCCCACAAAACCTTGATTTTCAAATTATTAATTGGGAAATCTCATATGTGTAGACACCAAAACTGAATGAAGATAAAAAATTCCGCGGTTGGGCTGGTAGGGAGCTAGGGGCGTAACATGGCTTGATGCTTGTATAATTTTAAAGGTGGGGGCATTCTTTGAGGGAAAGAACGCGCTGATCATCAGTAAGTGAAATGAAATGGTATGATGAGTTGCTGCTCATCCGTCGCAATAACGTACGGGCCCGTGATGGTGAATGTTGATACGCGTCATCGATGCTTTCTGCGGCATACTCACGACTGCTTAAACGGTGCCAACAGTGAGTAAGGCTTTTCATATATTGGATAACTAAAAGAAATGTCATGCCTCCGAGTACTGCGTTAAATCAATGATGAAACGTTGAACCAGCCGCAACTGGTGGTCGTCTGTGTTTGTGCCCTCACAATTCACAATGATCATTGCGTCGACACCAGCAGAATGACTGGTTGCAATGCTATAAATACTCGATCCCTCGCCAGCTGAACAGTCGTTCCCAAGCATTCCTTTCTCATTCTGTGTTAAATGATATCGAACGCTTTTCGTCTTCGCCAGCTACTCTTCGGTATAGACTGACCTAGAAGTCATGCACTTATAATTAAACTGACCTCTGGTACTATACTAGCTGTCTTTGCTCTATACTGAAGCCTTCGAACAGCAAGTGAGTGTAGCTGCCCCGTCATTTGAAATCACGCTGACATGGAATATGCTCAAGATCAGTCCTCCTCCGCTACTCCTCTAGGAAACCATTTGACGGACCTTGGATGACCTCAAAAAGATCGAAGCTGCGAAAACAGTGAGTTATGAGGTGCCTTCATAAGCTGCCTACTGATGATTAATGATAGATCGAAGTCGTCCCTTACGCAGCCGCTTTGACTTTGCTAGAATGCAGCGAACAGCAATAGCTAATAACGTAAGTTTTTATCAGCGGCAATATGGAGAGTATTCGTCTTGTGCTAGCGACTCCGAATATAAGAAGGCAAACGTTCGATCACGAGCCGCTCGATCTCCTCTAAGTCACCCCGTTGCGTTGCCTTTGCCTATGCCCATGGCCGGGCTGCAGTTTGGATCTCAGCGCAGATTCTACTTACTTGAAGTTTTATCTTGCCGTGCTCTCCGTCCATCAGAAACAATCGCTGATGATTTCCTAGTCATAGGACAAATTTCAAAATGGCACTCGCCACGACCGAGCCGTACTTCCCCATTGTCCTCAAAACCAAGGATGCACATCGGGCCGGATCAATGAGTCCCAGTGCGTTTCTATTTCGCTGTTCCAGGACACCTGCTTGAAACGTCCATTTCGTTCACGTTGACGGAACAGATTTAGGAAGGCTCAGTGCCCTATGATTAGCCATATGGTAGAGTTTGAACATGTTTTTATCTCTTCCGGCTTCATCCTGTCCGACCAAAGGTTAACTGTCACTATATTAGCTTCCGTACCCCGACGGCCCTGCGCCTCTTATCCCATATCCAATTCGAAGCCTCGAAAGCGGCATCATCCGCCCCCATGCTAAGCCGAGTGAGCTATCGCAGCATCCAGCGACAACGAAGATAAGCCGAGCATCGACGGCCACCGAGTAAGACCATGGTCTCTCCGAGGATAGTATCAACCAGTAAGGAATTGAGCTTCTGGCCACAGTCTGAGGGATAGCTCTGTCAGGCCCGGTTGCAGCTGAGCAAGTGACGAGGCAAGCCGCAGCACTGGATCTGCCCCAGATATCTCACCGCGAGAGCAGTCGTTTCAGGTCAATTCCTAATTCACCCTGAGATCCAATACCATGAATCTCTACTCCAGTGGCACTTTGTCCTGGCCCGTTTGAATATTTGCCTGGCGCACGAACAGCAAATACGAAACAGTTATGAATTGGCAGATGTGGCCCACGCCTATTCCGGAGGCACAAAGCGATCCTGGGCCCTCGTGCACGTGTAATCGAGCTGAGCCCGCTACCTCGTCTCTGGTTTGTCTATATCATTGCCAGACTACACTGACGGCAAGTCTGTACCACCCTCAGTCACCAGAAATCATGCTGGCACGGAGAAGCAGTGAAATACAGCCCTGATTTCGCCGTCCGACGAGTTCGATCGGGATACTGTTTGTGGCTGGTATTAGAGGATCTCTTCTCAGGCCGCGAGCAAGGCAAGTTGCGAACACCCATATTGCACCAGCTGCTGATAATTAGTACTAGATCGGATGTTGCCACCGGCAAATTGCTTTGGCCGTGTCCCAATGCAGACGGCGATTCAAAGCTGCCACCATGGCCTATTCATGAACGAAGCTGGCAAGTACGTTCTCATCACTAGAATAATTTGGAAGGCAACTAACCATGTTGTCAAGTCGCGATGAAGAAGTTGGCTATTTCCCCGATGCTATGCTCAATGCAGCCGCAAGCCGACCGAATCCCTCCTCTATTTCGCCATCGGGTAGCACGGACTCGCCAGCAGAAGCAGCCTCGCAAGTACAGCTAGTCGACGGCCGCGACGGTCTCAATAGCCCAATTGTTATTAGAAAGATGCCAGGTCGGTTTGCGATACGTGTTGAAGAAGACGTGCTTGTTGACTTCAAACGTAGCCGCTGATGTTTCTTTCAGAGTAGACATCCTTCGTATGTCCCACCCGACTGGCTCAGGAACGACGCGCTTCGCCGCGTGGGTGCATGCACAAAACCGCCTAATACCTCCCGCGGCACCACGTTCGGCGGAGCAGGCCCCTGAATCGGGACCCCGATGACTCTTAATTCGAGACCGCCGGGTGGTCCTGACTTCGGTCGACATGCCCAACTAACTACGGAAAAGTGGCTTCACCATTCTCAGTTGAGCTGTTCAAAAAGCAAAGATCGCCCGTAAAGCGAACGAATACTCGGAACATGACTCGGAAAATCAAGCGAGTTGTAATTTCGAGGGCGCTGAGCAAGCATGATGCCTTTCTCCGGATGTCTGTCAGCCTCCTCCGGAAACTTTCCCAGTCAGCAGATATTCATATATCAGATGGAATACTCAAGTTATCGACCAAAGCTCGCATCTGATATCTTCTAGGTCCAAGCTCGCCGATCCGGACAGTCGAGGAGAAGAGATTGAAGCTTTGCAGAACACACAGGTCTGCACTACCCCAGACCCTATCTTTTCAAGAACAGTACAAAAGACTTTGAGGGCCTTTCTCGCCTTAATCAAATCTATGAAAGATTCGGGTGAGATTCGGGGGGGATTTCTTTTTTTCGCAAGGTTCCAAAAGCGGAGCGGTTGCTCTATACTGATCCGAGCGCATGGCGTCGAAGGTTTCTCATCGATGGTTAGACTTTGACGCGATTCACGCGAGACCGTCGTGTCGAAACTGGCCGTCTTCAACACCACGCCACTATCCACTTCGACAGCATACACAGCTTGCAACTGAATACCCCATGACAAATCCACACTGCATTTTTCATGGGGAACGAGGAAAAGGAGTTAGCTCCCAAAACCACGGTAATGGCCATTATATTCCAAATTGGTTCCAAGTGATTGAATTTCGACTGACCTCCAACCACGAATAATAGAAAAAGGAATAGGCCAGAAAATTTACTCATAGAAACCCCACTGCAGAACGCCGTTCCTTCGACTTTAGATAAAAAAGACACTCAGCCACCATAACGAAGATATCCCAGGATAAAGTAATCACGAAAGAGAACCATCAGAGCCACCATATCAGCGGGCTGAGAGCATTAAGAAGGAAGATGCAAAACACGAAGATGACCCTCCCCGGGAGAGCGAATGCAAAAAACGGGGAGGTGACATCAGACTATGCAAAAGGCAGAGGGCCCTCTATTTCTTGGTAGTTGGCTTCTTCTTGGCGGCCTTGGCGGGCGGAGCGGTCGTCTTGGTAACGCGGCCGGACTCAGTCTTGCTAATGACTTTGGGCTGCTCGATAACAGCGGGGGCCTGGCACAGTCAGCCTGTGATTCATGACGGCGGGAGAAATCGCGCCAGCGAGGGTGAACATACGAGGGTGGTCTTGCGGATGTTGCCAGAGTTAGCCTTGGGCTTGCCAGCAGCCTTCTTAGGGCCGGTCTTCTTCACTGCAGGCTTGATGGTAGTCTTTGCCGTGGTCTTCTTGGTAGCGGCCTTCTTGGCGGCGAGGGCTTTGGTGGTCTTCTATTCGGGTTGTCAGATCAGTGCCAACGAGCATCATTGAAGGAAGAGAGCTTACATCGGTGGCAGTCTTAGTGACTTTCGCCGCAAGCTTAGCGGCGGGCTCCTTCTTCGTAAGCTTCACGGGACCAGAGGGACCTGTGATGCGACACGTTAGCAACTTATTTCAAAAGTAGCGCGATGGTGACGATGTCCCCGTCACCGATTCTGCAGGATCCAGGTTCCGCGGAATCAAACGGGACGAAAGACCGTGCCGGATGACAAGCCTGGAGTGGAAACGCGACTCACCCTTGGGCTGAGTGAACTCGCCCTTGTCAACACCAGCCTTAATGGCCTTGTTGAACTGGGCATCGAAAGTGGCCTGGAAGGCAACATTGATCTGGTTGTTCGAAATAACATACTTCTTGATGGCTTGACGGCTGTTTTGCGGGAAGAAAAGTCAGTATCATTTTGTGGGACGAAAGCCCGACGCGACCATGGAAGGAGTCTCTCTCTAGGTCGCGACGACGAGTTGAAATGTGCAAAAAATACCTGCTACCATTGCGCTCTTTCAGCTATAGGCGGATATGCCAGTCAGCAATTGAAAAGGATAAATGAAGCCCATCCACATTGTTGTGGTGGCTATTCAAGTGAAACGGTCGAACGCGTCACGTTCGGGCGCGCAACCCGAATCACAACACGCCGGGCACCGGCGGTGGTCTACTCACGTTGACGATAGCATCTTTGATCATATCTATATTGCCGGTATCAGCAGAAATTTCACGACACGGGCGATGCCACGGTCGCATTTACGCGGGGCCTGTGGCTCAGGATCAGTGAAAACATGCCGCGATAGGAGGGGTGAGCGGCGGGAGCGGCCTTCTTGAACGCGCCAGTTGCTTTTTTGGGAGGCATGATGAGGTGAGAGAGTTTAGCTGATGAGAGAGCAGATGGGGTGAAAGGCGATGCCTTATGAGAAGCGTGGAATAATGGAAAAGCAGATGGGGAAGAGGAAAGTAGAAGGAAGAAGCAGTAGTTCCTCCAACCGCGGCTGGGCGCAAAAGTGGGTCTTGCTGCTGTCATGTCGTTCGGGAACCCCAGGCTATCTCCGTTCCTTCAGTGTTCGGCGCCTCCTCGACCCCTTGAATCACCGAGTTCAGATATATGCGCCATATCAGATGCTTGCTCCAGTATATGGCGTGTGATATTCAGTTAGCACAGCACATGCGTGACTCATTGGTCACTTAGGAAGATAACGAGACAGAATCTTTTCGAAAGTTCGGCACAAGCGCAGAGGCATATTATATCGTACCCACGGCGAGCAATGCAAAAGCATGAAAGCGGAGATTTTGCACCCAGGTCCAAACAAGTTCAACCAGATTACGGGACATCATTTCGAAGAATTTCGATCTCTAGTTTGTCACTAGTTCCCGATATTGTCAGGATGGCACAATATGGGTGCCAACAACTAGCTCCTCAGAATACCAAACAAGGTCAGTTCACAGGCTTGGTAACCCTCAGTTGTACTACACGATGATCTTACTCAATGAGAATCCAGCTTTCTAGGGACTTCTATCAGAGTTGTTCTGTCCTGTGTGCTGTTCATGAGTAGGGAATACTCAACGGTATGATATGCAATCGAATCAATTTGCTTCTGTTGACCCTCTACTCAAAAATAGAACCATCAATTACAGCGGCTTTCATAAGTCCAATGAGAGCGAGTCAAGATGTACAATTGGAAAAGTCAAAGGGCGACAAACGAGCTAAGGCGCGTAAGCCGCGCGTTCTTCAGTCTTTCCCGAAGTTCATTCCTTCGCAGATCTAAATTCACATTGAACACGAGTTTCTATCCTCATCTGCCCAAGTGTATCTGAAATCCGAGATGATCCTCGTCCCGTCAGGCTCTTCTCGGACCAGAACGAGGAAGCAACACTAGGATCATCCATCAATACAGTCCACAAGAAGTGAGACCACACGTCCGCTCAATGTTGGAAGAAACACCCTGAATTGCGCCCACAACAAACGGACCATGCCGTGAAGGCAGAACGGAGTACTTCCGGCTCACCAAGAAATATCATACGGAAAATACCAGCAAGCCAGGTTAAAGAACGACAGGGCCCGCCGACTTCCAAGAGACCGCGGATCAACTTCGTGAGGGCGAGGGCGACGACCCTTTATACCCACGCACCGTCACTCCAGTGGATCCTGAATTCGGCCGCTACCAGCCACATCTGCTGGGAAGGGATTGGAGCGGTGAAACTCACGCTCCGGGGGGAAATTCAACCAATCCCTGGTGTTGAAGAAAGTGTACTTCGCGCCACGCGTCCGGATAAACCCGGTCAGCGTGCCGAAGTTGCTGCGAGACCGCTACACGGCGGTGGCGCATCCGCAGAACGTCTTTGTGCAACGGGATATTCAACACCGCCCACGTGATTGCTGACTAAGATCCAGCCCAACCGGTTGGGTTGTCTTGGGCAGGTTTTGGCGAGGCCAAGCTCAGTCATAACTAGTCTTACTCGGATCGGCCAAGGCTCCGCAAAACTGCATGCAACTCTCCTGCCATCGCCGTTTCAAGCCAACAAATTTCTTTCGATGTTCAGCACAAAGCTGCTGGGTGTATTCGCTCTCGGTTGAAAGCTTCAAGTTGATATTTTATATTTTGCTCACCTCAGAAAAAAAAGAAATCTCAGAAGCTCGGCGAAGAGCAGGCCAGCCTCTTCAATCGAATCTCTCCCCATGTCCCTACCAGATATGCCAGCGACACAAACTTTCCACTCTCACAGGCGGTAAAAGCTCGCTGACGCATTCTTCTTTCCAAAATGACATGTTGGGCGTCACGGCAAGTCAACAGAAGTTTGATCTCAGACTCCCGCATAACTGACAAACATAAGAAAGTGCTCTCAAATCCAAGGATGATTGCTGCCGCTGCCCTGCTCAGACCGAAGATCCAGCCGAAGACAGTACAGCCGTCCCTAGGTGCCCGGTTGGGCCGCCCACAACTCGGGAAGCGTCTGACCATGATAACCTACTACGGTCGGCAATTACAGATGAACCATTCCTGTCCGCTGTGGAACCCCCTGCCCACTCGCATCCGGCCCGTCCGCAGCTTTATATACAGCCATGCCAGACTGACTCATTGGACTGCAAAGCATGTCGGGAATCAAATGTTCACTGCGATCACGCGCGACCGCAGTGCTCACACTGCTACCAACAGCAAACCCTTTGCTTCTACGTGAGCCCCAAGCAGAGGTTCAAGAGCAAGGCGGATATTTGGAGGTGGCTGGATATGAGCAGTCTTGAACCGAATGTGGATGGTTGACGAACATAGAGGGAGATGAAGCAAGGAAGTGACCATGGCAGTAAAAACGATGAAGCCAGATTGTCAGGTCTTCTGTCTTTTCATAGGAGATTCTAGAAATACACAATGGTACACACTGTATCGCACCCTTATACGTCATACATCACCTCTCCACTATATATATGGTGTTCTCATGCCAACTGGGTACGGGCCTAGAGCAAGGTATGAGTGCCTTGGAGGTGAACTGTTTCTGACTTCTACTGTAGCAGTGTATTATATGGATATTAAAGGTGTGCACTTGGTAAACCAACCGTTTGAAACCATGTGTCAAATTCATGTAGGGAAGTAATTACCGAATTCAGCTGAAAAATCTCTATTCGCTTGGAATATCTAGACTGAAGCACTATTGTTTTCGCAGCAAGTAATTTCTCCACGTTGCTTCACCCAAAAACCGATGTCGCGTACGAATCGCCAGGCGGCACCTACCTTAACACCACGCATGACAAAGAAATCCAGGTCTTGATCCTCATAAATACGCATGAGATCAAGGCATTTCTCCAGAGCCACATCGCGTGCTTTGTTGGTATTATACCGTCGATGATGGTGATGATTTCATTTACCCTGACCCCTCGCAATTTTGAAAGTTGGTTTACCCAACTAGACCAAAAACGAATCCGTTATCAGCCTAGTGGTGGAGGTTTATAATCAACTTTGAAAGCGATATGCAGGTTATAACAAGCTATATATATCCCTGTCCGTACATCTAGCGTGTCCCACTTCCTGACAACGAACGTAGAGCCTCGTCATGGCCTGCCATGGCCTAGTTGCCGCTCCCACTATTAGGCTGCCCTTATGGCGCGCGATTGCGGAACCGTCGTGACGCCTCGGCGAAGTCCAATATGGCCTGGACCGTCTTCGCCCTCGAGACGGTGTCTGGTTCACCTTTCTCATCTTGTTTTGAGCCTCCCGGCACACTCGACACGCTGCTGAACGCATCCCCAACATTCCGTCTCAATTCTATCCGTAAGTCCTTCAGCATTGGGCAGTCCACCACGACATGGGTGACTTTTTCTTGCGTGCCGCACACGCCCTGATCGTGCTATCGGAAACGAAAGAGCTTGGCGTATGTGGATAGCCAATTGGCCCGTGTACAGCTAAGTCAGAAAATATGCCCGGCCCCGGCCAACTTTCCGTACAACTTCCAGTAGATTTCGAAAATGGATTCCCTATGGAATCTCACGCGTTGTTTCTCGGTCCGTACTAGAAATTACGCTAGGCCGTATTAGGCTACTTTAGAAAACAACCCCTGTTCGCCGTTCCTTGGTTCTGGAAGACGCGCGCGTTGCACGCATCGGCCCTGGAACAAAATAGAGAAGGAAATAGAGTACTTCCGACAAATCAATCTACCGAAGAGGTCGAAAGAGCTGAACGATGAATAACTAGTTCATATGTTTCTCGATGACTAATAGCTGCTAACTATTTGAAATGCAGAAGACGAACTATACAATGATATTCGGCCTCAGATTTGCTGAGTTTTTATGGCTTCAGACAATCCCCGCACAGGCATGTAAAATCAGCAGTTTGACAGCACCATTCATTTTAGGAGGCTCATACTTTTATTCGAAGATTATTGGTTTTTTTTGCTAGTTCTTCACTGGCTGTACGTTCGTGGGGGGGGGAAGGGAAGCTCCCCTAGTCTCAATTTTCTTTTTTTCAGGTTGGAATGGTTGTGCACTGGAGTGGCTAGTGGCCTGAACCTTGGGTACGTCACGCGAATTTTTATCGACACTTTGTGTGGCACAGAAAGATAGGCAAGATAGATCTGGGTCAAACCCCCAGATTTTATCCTCTCCGGTCGCATCTTCCATTCGGAGGACGGATTTTTGGTCGTCTGGTTGTCTTGCGGAAGAAGATCTTCGCTTTGGATGAGAAGAACCAGGTTCTATAATATTTGAATACGAACATTCAGATACTCGGAATAGCAATATTTGACTAGTTGACGAAACAACTTGAGTACTAACCTTTCGAGTCAGAAACCAACGCTCGTTCGTCCTTGATAGCTGATGACCAAGATGGACCATCAAATCCCCAAAAATCATTTGCCATCGCTGTTTTAAATCAAATATGAGGTCTCGATTCTGTTAAAGGACTTTTAAGTTTCCAGGATGGATGGGAATTGTGGCCTGGAAAAGACAGGCTCATTCGTTATAAATAGCTCTGATTTAGGTTTATCTACGACGGGCATGCAGTCCAATGAATGCATACATCAAAAGTAATTTTGTTTCCCATCGTAGATTCCGTTTTGAAAAGAATATTGGATGGTATAAAAACCCTCCAACCGGAACCCGAATTAATTGAAACTCCTTGCTGTAACGCTGCCTGGGAAAGCGCTGCTGGTATGGACGGCAAAAAGAGCCGAAAGTTAATCCAATTTGACTAGTCATGTGATGCAAGGCAGCAATGCGCTGGTGGTACGGTTTTTGTTGGCCAATAACAAGTACAAGTCAGGGGCTAATCAAATGGGCCTTAGTGATGTTATCACTTGCGCCCCCGCCCCCTAACTCCCTTGACAAATTAACATACTCTTGATTTGATCCAGATATGAAAAGCCTTTCATCTGTTGTCGAGTACATATCCCAAGGAGGCTTAGCTAAGCTTCAACTATAGACCGACACACAAGGGAGACGATCTTGCTGAGCAGGTCTGGGATTATATATTTTGCAGATATCAGTTCATCGTAAAGCGACGCCACCTTATGGCCGTGTATCCTATTAAGAGAAACATAGTGTCATCAAAGAGCACGCGACAATTCTCGAACCGAATGGATATCGCACAGAAGAGCGACCGGAGTAGAGATAAGGATACATTTTACTATACACTTGAACATAATTTTAGACTTGGAAACCCAAGTTAGTTGCATCACGCAACCCCTAGCTCATGGCCGAGATGTTTCAGAAAAGGCCATATGTACGGCGTATTGAATACACTGCACTTTGCTGTGCTACCAGATTCAAGCCGATGGACAGCATAATTTTGCACTGTATATCAGCTTTTGAATGATTAGTGACGGAACGAAGATTCGCGCTATGCGGCGATGGGTGGTCACCGGTGGCAGCCACTTCATCGCTCGGCAATCGCACCGCACTGCACATCAACAAAGGGACCCACTGGTCCGGCCCCGTTATCACCAACTCTTCACCCTCAACTCTCACTCACCTCTACCCCTCACCATCAACACACCATCAATCACCGTCAAACCTCACCTTCAACCTTCACCCTCACCCTCTCCCTCATTCTCAACTGTTACACTCAACACGCGCCATCCTCGAAGTCCACAATACTCGCCTCTCCGGACAAATTAGACCGCCACTCCTAGGCAAGACACAAGCAAGCATTCACACCAATGGAGACTACTTTGGATTGCAGCCGTCGCCCAGATTGGCCACCACGCTATCATACACCGAGATCTCAACCGGCCCTATGACTCAATGCTCTACTTTACACTAAATGGAAGAAAAAGCCCATTATCGAAACTCAGGGCATGATTTAAGGCTACAAAATACCCTACGCGAACAAGGAACATGAATAGTGAACTCTACAAACAGGCTGAATGGCATAACACATAAAGCCCCCTTGGAGGATTTTTGATTTCTATGGATTCTTTGGAGCAGGTCTCGGCATCTTCGAGGTCTCAGACGGACCCGAATACTAGTCTCTGACACCACGAAGAGGTGCCTGCAATGGCCAGAGGATCAGGACGAGGACCGCGGCGCCACGGGTCGCCTAATGAGCGCAGATTTGATAACGCAGGGCTCAAGGCTGCATGGAAGCTCAAGATTATACAATCACAGGGCTCAGGGCTGTGAGGGAGAACTTGGTGTCGCAGCGGTCTCCTGCGGAGGTTCTTGGTAACGCAGGCGTCCCTGCGGAGCACATGTTTACAACGCAGGGCTCATTGCTGCGAGGGAGCACATTTTTACAGTCACAGGGCTCATGGGCTGTGAGGGAGCACGTTTTTACAACGACAGGGCTCATCGGCTGCGAGGGAGCGCGTTTCTACAGCACAGGGCTCATTGTCAGTGAGGAAGCACATGTTTACAATGAAGGGCTCATTGGCTCTGAGTAGGGGTTTCGGCAGCGATCACTTGCGTACGTTTTGCCGGACCCAGAGATTTGACTCGAAATCCGCAGCGGGCGACCCTAATTTTGCAGGGTGTTGAGGCGGTTTATCAACGTTGAAATTAACGAAATAGTCAAAAGCGAACTGTTCCTCTTGTGACACTGCCGCTGCCTCTGGCTCAAACACAAGAATACCGAAATGTATGGAAAGTTCCCGCGTATGCGCAAGACGGTTGCTTATAACATGAGCGTACTGTAACTTTCGTTTGTCCACACCAATACGACGGGGAATTCGCACTTGGGTGCACAACATGAGCCAACGCAGTCACTTAACGGAATAGTCTGAGCTGAAATATGTTCTCACAGAGACCCGGGCATGTGAGGGTAAAAGGAAATACGTGGGACTAGCTTGTGGTAGGGACAGTTTGTCAGACGACCAATTTCTTGAGTGATGCCATCCACCATTTTTGCACAATTCTCCTACAAACGGGTGTTCAGCACTCACAGACCCCCACCACCTACTTTGAATGAAAGACTAAGCGATCAATCAATTTTGAAGTACATCGATGAGCTTCTGCCTGAGTAGTGTTAGATCACAACGATCTTCAATGATGATGACCATGACCATGGCGCAAGTGATATTCCAGGTCGGCGGAATGAGGTGCTGCCGTAACCTGGCCTATCGACACATCATAGCGACTGGAGGTGCTCTCGGGGTGATAACGTCCCATGGGACCGCCCGGGATCTGAGCCTCTGTAGTGGGCATATGAGTTCCAGTACTTGTAATCGGAATGTTAGCGAGACCCGTGTTATATTCCACTGTACCATCTTCGTGAACCATGAGTTGCACCGGGCCATCCTCATCATCAGCATAGATTATGTCACAAGCCCGGCCGTCAATCTTATTGCCAAGCATGTCTTCAAAATCCAGATCGTCAAATGAGAGATCTCCATTTTCTATGAGAAATGTGGGATTGCTGTCATTGAAGGCGTTGCATGTGAGCTTGGTTGACTCCTTTACTTCACCTCCAGCCGGAAGACTCTGGTTCATAGCAGCCGTAATTGGAAATTCCCGACGCATGTATCCAGCACTATTGATCGAGCTTGGCCTATCTCCAGCGTTTGAGGAGGGGCCTGGATTCATCTTCCAGCTCTGTCGTGGCCATTCCATTGGCCAGTAGTACATTCTGTATGTTGGAATTGGCCGGTTAGTATGTCAAATCTTTGCGCACTCTACATAGCTTCTTGGAGAACATACGGATCGTCATCGAGAACACGAAACCCATGGTCTTCCACCATTGTATTTTGAACGTTGTTGTTCTTGTCAGTGTAGGTGTAGGAGGCGAAGCACAGTGAATTGGCGGTCTGTGAGTCAAAACCAAGGGCAGTGATGAAGTGAGTTCCTATCATATTACCAATGCCCCGATTACCGGGGAGGGCCCCAAATTCCCTGCATGGCATTAGTATTTTATAACGCTTTTCTGACTCGATGAGACTCTTCTACAGAAAGGTAGCCCGGATCTAGGCAGCAAAGGAGATCCACGACTTACCACGTTGCAGCCGGACGCGGGAGCTTGCAAGTATTGACTCGAAAGTCAGAGCACGGTTCCCACTGATTTTGCTTCCACATCTTGAAATCCTGTCCTTGTCTACTATTGGCGATCGAGTTGACCAATCGACATGTTTGAGGATTGTTATTCCCAGATTCGAAGAGATTTCCCATGGGAAATTCATCCAGCTGACATTGTGCGCCCACTGGAGCACGCGATTTCCGGATAAGGGAATAATATTGCTTAGCACGTTGTTTTGTAAATGAGTAGTACTTCCGATTAGGGGGTCGTAAAGCACCAGGGTTAAATGTAGTTTGCTGGTTGAGGCGGTAGGTAATGGCCCATCGCTGATTATCACAAACCTCATCCCAACCCAACCCATACCGGCATGTATATGTTACCGAGCAGTCGCAATGCCCGTTCTTAGTGGACGTGAAACTCAGTTTTGACCACTGATTGACATTCACGGCATTCCCGGTACCGAGAATAATCTTGTTTGTCGCTAGCTGTCCGTTTGGATTGCTCTGGGGTTTTCGGCCTGAGGTTTTAATAGCAAACCCCGATGCACTCACTGCAACGCCAGAAGCAGCACATAGATAAAGCTCGGCTGGAATTCCTAAAAGCGAAACCCCGAATGACACAGGTGACTCGGCCACAAACGTCACGAGGGCAAGGGCACAAGTGCCAAGTAACAAGGCTTGTCCAGTATCGGACCGTGCGAGAATGGCAGCGTCTTTCGTTCCTCTATCCAAACTGCGCTTGCTGAACAATCCTTGTCCGTATAGAAACATGTTTCCTGTGTTGGTCTTTGAAGAAGGAATGAATCCGGTGCAGCAATATGCCTGATAGCCACCTGTACAGGTCAGGTCTGCTATATGGTCATCGTCGTCCATTGAATAGGAGTTACTATTCTGCGCGACGATAACCGCATCGGCATCCGAGCATACAGGAGTGCACGGTAAACCCACGCCACGGAAACCTTCCCACTTGCACGTTCCCATTGTCGTTTGAGGAGCGCAGCACAGTGTTTGGTATTCACCCACTGGGCAAACAGAACTTTGTTGGACGTTCGCTACTTGCCCTCTCGCTTCTGTGACGTCGAAATATGAACTCTTGCAGGTTTCCCCACACAGACTCCAGTAACAAGATGATGCGACGGCGTTCTGCTCGGCAGCATTTTCATACTGTTCCTTGTAACTAGCTGCTTGGGTGGGCGTAACGCCATTGGCTTTGCCAATGCCCATGAGGTCGCTCATAGCATCTCCGTTATCGTTGTCCATATCCATTGCCCAGATCATAATACCACCAAGGCAAAGTTTGTTTGCGGCTTTCATCTTTTGCATCATGGTTACACCGTCGTCAAAGCTCACCCACTGGTCTTTGTCCCAAGTAATCCACTTCACTGCCGCCGTAGAGTCATAATTTTCAGTAGCGACACCAGAATCTTGAATCTTCTTGATCTCGGCGATTGAAAGAGTCCCGGCAGAGTTGGTACATGAACCAGGATTGCCACCTCCACTGAATTCGCAGAGTCCATTGGGCCTAGAACAGGATGAATCGGCGAGAGTGAATGATCTTCCATACCAGCCAAGTCCTAAAACCACCTGGCTCGGCTCAACTCCAGCCATCCACATTAGATCTAGGCCTTCTTTGATCTCAGTAAGGTTGGTGTGAGGACGAATGTAAGGACCAGTATATTGATTCTTGGAATCCCAGACACCGTGAATGTCATAACTCATGAAATTGAACCAGTCAAGATGTTTTGCCATTCCGGCAAGATCAAAGCCCTGCAGATACCAGTAGGAGGATGGCAAAGTTACACTCATACCGTACGAAGTACCCCAGCTTAATCGCATCTCTTTCAACAGCTTCACAAAGTTTTCCGTGTCCGCAGATGAGCCCCCACGATCGTCGGCAGCGGGGTACTCCCAATCAATATCGATACCATCAAAGCCATAAGATTGCATAAAGTTTTGCAGATGCTCAATAAATTGGCGCCGATTTGCAGAGGTACTAACCATGTCACTGAAAGCCGTACGAGTGTCTGGGGTATTGCCCTCATCGTTAAATGTCCAACCACCAAGGGAAATCCAAGTTTCCAGACCCGGGCTCTTTTTTTTGAGGCCAGTAAAACTCTTATAAAGCCCTGCAGCTGCTGATGTCATAGGCGATACTTCAAAAGTGGTTGGGTTGAAAAAGGTGAACGCAAAATTGAGATGCGTTAGACCGACCAGTGGGATCTCGTCTGGTGTTCTCCGATTGCAGAGTCGGGAGCTTGAATCGTCAGCCCAGCTTTCGTAGTATCCGATTCGCCGGCCATTCTCTGCTGAGGTTCCCGAGCAAGTTGGCCTGTCGACGTCTCCACATGAACCATATCCATCCTGGCAGCCAGTGCCGCAAAATTCGGAGGTGGTACCGCAGAACCCAAACTGTGAACAACAAACATTCAGAGGACAGTCGCCCTCGCCTGCCTTGGCATACTCGCCGCAGGGAGCCGTAGCATTACAATTGGAAATGCAGACGTCTGCTGCACAGCTAGATGGAGCGAAGGAGCATACGCCGCTGTCACTGCAGCAGGCACCGTTGACACATGGTATACCTGGAGCACATGTTCCAGTGGGGAGAGAGTCTCGTTTCGAGAGACCAGGTTGATTTCCGGAAGTCTTGTAGATCGAGGATTTAGGCTTGCCAGCAAGATCCTTCAGCAGTTCTCGGTTCTTGAATGCCGGTGTATCCGGAGAGTAAGGCCTGAAGAGTGGCAGGAGAGCCTTAGATGAGTTGCGAGCAAGCTGAGGGGTCATCTGCCATCCTGTTGGTTTTGCCTGTGGTAATTCCGAGGATTTCGCGGAATTTTCAGAGGACTCGATGGAAACATGTGAAGAGGACCCGAGTCCTGCGACAAGCCAGCAACACTGGGCCACCACCCATAGGGTTGCAAACCGCATTTTCGGTGATCACTTTGCAGGCTTCTGGCAAAAGAAGAAGCTGTGGTTTTGATTAGTGTCTTCTTGCAGAAATCGATTCCGCCAGAGCCGGCGCTGGTCTCAGGCTGCTGTGTTTGATAACAAAAGAGCAGAAGAGAAATAGCATACCACAGAACAAGGAACTTGAGAGGGGGGAACGCTCATCCGCCGTATAATGCGCTAGGGATATATTCCGAAGCCACTTTACTTGAAAGGCTTTTTCCTGCAATATTTACAACGGTTTTCATAAAACCCCGAAATTCAGGAAACTCCAATTCGATTTCAACGGAGCAGAGATTTCGACGAGCAAAATTACCAATTGTACGCCGTAGAGTTCCCTCTTATGCCCTAGTCAAAAGAGCCCAAATTGTGCTAGAGGGAACCATATTTTTGTCCAATTTCCCGAATTTGGCAAACACTACTGAGGCGCATCCAAGTGTGCTTTCAACCGCGGTAGAGTTAATTCAAGTGCAAGAGACCCTACATGGATCAGCCAATCATTTACCGGTGGTGCCTGGTAGGCCAGCATCGCCAGAGCTTAGCTTCAGAGTAGCGCGTGAAATTCAGATTGGAGAATGACTAGTATATGCCCTAATGTAGCCAAGAGCTTGGCTGAGACATTCCAATGCCACGCTTATGCCCGCCAGCGTAGATATCCTGTTTCGATAAATCTAGGCAGTGGCAAGCACAGTTCGATTCGAGCCTCGGTATGCCTTTGTTCTTTTTAACCAGAACTGTTTTCCTGATAAGCTCTTGCTTAATATTGAGGGATTAATAGTGGAGCTGGGGCGACCTTGACAGCTTCAATTACTTGCCACCCAAATACTTGGCCGAATATACGGATCACCCAAAATTTAAGTGGGCCTCGCTTTTTTGCGCGTATTTTCACAAAGGAAATCTCGGCTTCGATCTTTCGAGCTAAGATGGATCCGCTTTGTAAGCGTATTACATAACTAGTTAATGTAAGATGGGAATGCTCGCTGGCAGTCTGTCAAGCAGACGGGTCGATCGCGAAGAGACAAAACCACCACACTCGCAGAGTGCAGGAACGAGATGAGCAAAGCGTGACGCTATAGAGAGATGATTGAACGAGCAATAACAGAACCTTTCATACGCAGTATATCGATACCGCAACCTCAGCAGCCTCAGTAGAACATTTTCATAAAGGGGAACATGCATGTTGTTTTTGATAGTATCGAACGAACGCTACTTAATCTCACGAAACAAAACGGTGGCCTTGTTGCTAAGGCCTCCAGCACATGACTACAGGATACCGATGTTGAGAGCGGGAATCCCCATTACATACCACCCTCCCTGAAAATTTGACTGTCCCCTAGTCAAAACAAAGAAAACAAAGAAAACAAAGAAAAGAACGTCAACATTTCGTTAGACAACGCTTCCGACAGTCATGTCATGCTTCATCCATTAATAGGCACCTAGCCGCTATGAGGAAGGCCAACCTCCGCTTCGGGGGTAGGTTGCTGCATGTTCGACAGCGTTTGAAGTTCAGCATCGACGGAAGTGGGACCATCAGGCAAGAGACCTAGTTCAGGATCGTCCACGAGCATGCCTTTTTCAATGCGGGAGAAGAAGGAGTGCTTGCCATATTCCTTCTTTTCCAAGCGCTTGGTGAGTTCGAAGCAACGCAGGTATTCATACCAGGCTTCCTCTTGCCAGTCACGAACTATTCTTTTTGCAACTTCCGGATCCTTGCCAAAAAGGTCGTCCAATTCCATACAAACCGAGGGGCTGTCCCATCTCTGTCGTCCTACCAGGCAGTTCGGAATATCGTGTCGTGCTGTTCGAAATTGAACTCCGGCCGCGAAAGGAAATGGAATAGTGCCATACCGCGATGAAGGATAGCCAGATGGTGTCTTAGTAGCCGGCATTTGTGCGCGGTGCGCCTCGGCAAGCTCCTCCCATGTATTGGCTTCGGCACAGTCGAGAGTTTCGTGGTCGTCCTGAATGGCAGTATACCACGCAAGTCCTGTTCTGCGTACTGCGGTAGCCGGTCCTGTCGATCCATGAGGCAGGAATGGGAGAGAAAGACGTACGTCACCGATACCACAAACCTCTTGGGTCCATTGGATGCCGTACTTCTCCTCGTCATCTCTCGTCCACATATGGGGTTCAATGCCAGAAATGAGGCCATCGGGAACGGGCCCGCGGGACTGAATGTTCTTCCACCAATCAGCTAACCGCTCTGTCTTATGCATCCCTTTCAATATCGTGGTACAATTCCGTTTATCTTCCTGGGTGAAGGATACAGATCCTTGCAAGATACTGCCGCCCCGTCCTGTGTCGAGATAATCTTGGATGTTGATATCCAAGTGCCGAAACTTAGTATTTTCACCAATCTGAGTGCTCTTGGTGTAATAGGGGTAGGAAATCAGGCGCCATGCATGATCGGGTCGGGAAAAGACGTATGACATGTAGTAGGAGAGGTCTTGCCGAATTAGTTGCTGGATGTTTGAATACCACATCCCACGAAGCCATCCAATCTCTGTTGTCGACTTGCTCAGGTGGTAATGGTACATTCGGAACTCCTGGTGAATCAACGGCCATAGTCCCTCAGGATGTTCTCCGTCGAGGTCTTCTCCGAGCCATGAAAAGAGACCTGGCAGTATAGTGCTGCCATCATTATGCATATCCTTTGCCGGGCGAATATCAGGGGCCTTTCCAGCGTAGATCCGGTCAATCAGGGTATCAACCGACAGCCATTCTGTAGCAGCGGCGAAGTCAGAAACAAGAGGGGCGTAGTGCTGCGGCTTGAAACGATGGAAACCGAGATCGTTTTCCTGCCGGAAACTAAACCATCGAGGATGGTCCTTCATAAATCGGTCCCAGTTCCCAATGTGTCGATATGATAGGGCAACCCGGTTCACCAATTGCTGGTGATTCTTGGACGCACTAGTCATTTGTATAGCTTCCACTAGTGCCTTTGCGTGCTTACTGCAAAGAGTATTGACAGTGATATCTCCGGACCTCGCTAATCTTCTTCCAATGGCTCGCAATGCGACCAGTCCATTTTTCCGCTTCGAGAAATCTTTTTCTTTGAGGGCTCGTATCAGGGTAGCAGGGCGCAGTAAACATCCACACTTCGCATGTGCATCCGCGAGGGCAACTGTTTCTTCGTCGCTTTCTTCGACAACGGCATTGTTCAATACTTCCTGCTGTGTCGGCGGGGCATCCTGCATTTCCTCGTCGCGTTCCGAATCCTGGCTAGATTCCACGCTCTCTTCTTCCTCCATATCCTGGTCTTCCAATTCATCAGGGGGAGCAGCAGCAGCAGCAGCATCATCTTCCGGTAGGAAAACACTCTTCTCGGGAGACGGAGGCAGGGTATATGCTCTTGGTTCGATCCTTGGAAGATCAAATCCTTCGCCTTTTGGACAAACGAATCCATCCTGGTCTATCTGGAGACCCGCACGATCTAGGTGTTCTTGGAGAATCGGCGTCAGGATACGGCACTGGCAGGTCTTGAGCAGGTCACTGGGTTCCAGGTGCTTGGTTTTCTGGGCTCCACTTCCTTTTCCAAAGGTACATCTCTTGATGACATGGTTGTTGATAGATAGCTTGACATCCTCGTAGGACATATCTGTGTTCAGGAGCTTACTAACTTTCTCCGCAAACGCTCGATTCTTGACCCATTGGAAGAACTCGGTGGTATTCCTGCCTGCGGGGTCTTGGTTGTCCCATCTCACAAGCGCTCGCTGTCGAATGCCTTCGATTGTTCTCGCATCCTTTGCTCTTCGCTTTTGTAGCTGGACTGCTTTTTCCCATCGAAGCTGGAATTCCTCTTGGTCTTCATGATGACCCTTCCATAACTCTGCGGAGCTAACATAGTCAAACAGCCTGCAGATGCCGTCACCGAGCAAGTCATGTGCAGCATTCAATTTCCCATAGCAAAACAGTGCAATGTCATATTTTTCTGCAGCGTCACTCTCTTCCAGGGCCTCAAGCATTTGCTCAATCGTGTGGATCTTTTTGCCTTTGATAATCATGCCTGTAGGAATTGGTTCATCCATCCTGGCTCGTCGTATTACAGCACGGTTCACTGGAGTAAAGGTGTTTTGGCTTTCCGCCATCTCGAAATCAGACATCACGGCGTATCTTTATGCGGTTCGTGCAACAAAGGAGGTGATTCGAATAGGTCTCGGAGGTAACGGTGAAAGGAGAGGTTGGTAATCGGATCGGTCAAAGGAATCGTATCCGGCGAATGGCTTCGAAGCACAGGTAAGACGTATCAAAGACGTAGGTTTCGAGGCATATTAGAAGAGGAAATAGTAAGCGGGGTCTGAAAGAAACAAAGAATCGCAGGTTTCAAAGAGCTTCGGGAACAAAGAACCAGGTCCTTTCCCTCCTCCCGACTCGACCGTCCCCTGGTCGAGTCACGCAGTGCCGAATAGTTGCAAAGCTGCAGCGAGTCCTCCGTGGTTCGTAAATGGTTCGGTGGTATCGGGCGAGCATCAAAACGCGTTCGAAAACGATGAAATGGATGAAGAAATGATGAAGGTGAGTTGCGAAAGAGAGGGGGGTTGAAGAAATTGAAAGTGAAAGAGAGGGAAGAAAGGAAGTTATATCATGTAGAGCGTGGCTTCCTAATCGGGTCGAGACAAACGGCCAAATCAGGCCGCAAGGCCGCAAGGCCCCAAGGCTCTAAGGCTCTAAGGCATCAATTTCCTGCCGGAAAACGATGCCCCGATTAGGACCTGCGACCCCTCGTTCTTCTCAACGAAGGCCTTCCCCGTCGTCGTGGTGCTCGCTCACGTGGTGTCTCAATCCATCCTTCATGTTGCTGTCGACCTTGGCCACTACCTCGGCCTCGTTGACCTCTCGGACGTCCATTTGGGTTACGCTGCGGTAAGGATGAAGCCTCTTCCTGATCATTTAGATCCTTCCGAGAATAGAACTTCTTCAATCGATCGCCATTGAATGACTCCGGCTGATGGGTCAGATCGTATAAAACCGTACCATCGAGTTCACTCAGCAAATATGAACCGCTTTTGACCGTATGAATCCGATAAGGCCCCAACCAACGGAATTGTAGTTTTGTCCTTGAATGATAGTCCATGCTGCGAATGGTGTTGTGCAGGAGAACAAGATCACCCTGTGCAAATCGGTCATTCCGAAGCAGATGATGTTCGTCGAAGAAGTGCGCATTTGCTTCTTTCAGACGGCGCATACGCAGGATTGCTTCTTCAATATCCTGGTCCCGCTTTTCGAATTGCCGCGCTCTCATTGCTAGTAAATCCTTTCGGTCTCGGACCTCATGCCATGGCAGCATGCTCCAGGTAGACATCTGTAATTCAATGGGTATAATAGGATCCTTCCCATACAGAAAGAAGAACGGGCTCATTCCAGTGGTGGCATTAACCGTAAAACGATCCGCCATCAGGACAGAATAGAAATGGGGCCTCCATGGTCGCTTGATTTGCCGAGTAACGTTGTCTATAGGGTAGCCTTCTGTCATCTTTGAGAGAGCATCTTTCATAGTTCGCATCGCACGTTCCACAGGGCCATTGGAACCGGGATGGTACGCGGAGATCTTGACTCTTGATATTTGCTCGCGTTCCAAGAAGGCTGTTAATCCTCCACGGTTTTCAGGTCCCATGTCAATTACTATTTCCCGAGGAATCCCATGACGACTGATGATATCTTCCTTGATGAATTGGACGACGCTCTCTGTTTTCGCAGAATGCAATACTCTCGCCTCTGGCCATCCGCTGACAGAGTCTCTCGCTTGAATAACGACACGTTCACCGTCTTCTGGAGGCATTCGAGTTGTGTCAATATACCATTTATCGAAAAGCAACAGCGGTTGCGTAACAATAGCAGGTTCATGCAGACGATTCGGAGCTCTGGCCTGGCATAATGAGCATGTCTTAACATATTTTGACACATCTTCGTACGCGCGAGACCACCAGTAGCGATGTTTGATCAAGGCATACGTAGCTTCTCGTCCTTTATGGCCAAGATCATCATGGGTGCTTTTCAACGCAGCTTGTTGGTCTTCTTTTTTGTCTAGAACCCTGCGGAGCAATTCGGCATTACCTTTGACACGTCGGAACAAATGACGCTCTTGAACGACGAACTTCATGCATTTTCTTTTGAACGAATAGAATTCAGACAGGCTCATGCGGCCAGGTCTTCGGAGGGTTGTCAGGTATCTTGCAATTTGCTCCGATTCAGAAGAGTATCCTTCATGCAGCACATCGATAACAGGATCACCGGGAATTTCAACATTAGCAGAGACAGGACAACAACTGGCTCGGAGATATAGGACCTCCGTATCAACAAAGTCATCAATATCCTGTTCTTGGTCTCTCTCATGTAGATCTTCCTCAGTTGGTGGACGGCGGGATAGGGCATCTGCAGCGCCATTGCCAGTGCCAGGAACGTGCTTGACATCAAAATCAAAAAGCTGAATCCATGCAATCCAGCGGGTAACAAGAGCACCAGGGAGGTCGGTTGCAGTGCGATTCAATTGAGCCACCAAGGTATTAGCATCAGTCTCCAAGACGAAGTGTACCCCATATAGCCAATGGCGAAATTTCTTAAAAGCCATCAAAACAGCACGGCATTCTAGCTTTCCTGCGTCATATTTCGATTCAGCCTGTGACCAAACCCCTGACTCGTATCGTGCAGGATTGCGGACACCGTTCCGAGCCTGCATGAGCACGCCACCCCATCCTTTTATAGAAGCATCTGCAGCAACGATCATGAGAAACGGATTAAAGTCGTAATCTATAGGCAGGACTGAGGGGAACTCTGAAAGGCGTGACTTTATCTCGGTAAACGCCACCTGGTGGACTTCGTTCCACATAAAATGGGCATTCTTTCGCAGTATCTCATAGAGAGGCTTCATGATGACCTGGAATTTCTCAATCAGGATACGAAAGTAGACAGCAAGGCCGACAAATGAACGCAGTTCATCCTTCGACCGAGGCGTAGGCCACTGTGTAACCTTTGCAACCTTCGCTTCGTCGGGTCGTCGGCCATTAATGTCACACACCCAGCCGACAACTTCAATTCCTTTCATCATAAACTGGGACTTTTCGGCTGAGATGACCGCTCCGGCTAATTCCAAAAGATATAGCGCTTCATCGAGATTCTGAACGTGCTCTAGGACATATCGGCGAATCCCTTCTTCTACAAACTCGTCATTGTATGTTGTTCGCGGACCCTTAACGGCAACATCGTCAAGAAATGAACGCGCCTTTGTGCCGAAAATACTATGCAGAATGACCGAGATCACTCGTTGAAACTGGGCGACTGAATTCGATGCACCTTGGAGAATGGTGGTCTGGCGAAGCAGACCGAGGGGAGTTTGAATAGCCGTTAGATCCCGATCATCCTTATGCAGTTCGATTTGATCATATCCGGAGAAGAGGTCGACTAACGAAGCCATCGCCATTCCTGCAAACTCTTCGGCAAACTCATCTGCTATTGGAGGCATGTTGGCATCTCTTTTTGTCACTTTGTTGATCATCATTGCTGCGTTGACCATTCGATATTTGCCAGTTTGCTTCTTGCCGACAAGGAACCACGGGTTCCGATACGGTCCATCACAGGGTTCGAGCACGCCCTTGCGTAGCCGATCACGCAGCATTTCGATGACTATAGCGTTCAGTGCATGGGGGATCTTAAAACCGGGGTGCTGCCACGCTTCATGGGAGACGGTTTTAATGCGTTGCGGAGGCATTACTTCGTTGTGTATCCTCTGAACATGTTCCCATTCCCAGGCTAGCACTCCCTCTCTTTTGAAAAGAAGTTCTCGAAAAAGTGCTCTCTCACGTGGCAGTAGATCCTTTCCTACTAGCAGTGTTATCTCTCGTTCTGGGGTAAGACGAGCACCTCTCGCAATCACGGAAATACGAGGCTTGAGCAAATGGTCGAATTCAGTTCGAATGTCAGGTGCGCGATACTGAGTATGGTACTTTTTGAGGCATTCGTGCTGCCAATCAGGGTGGCCGACGGGGATCGTCCCATCTGATTCCGATGAATTTACCGGACGAACTTTGTCAGCCTTCCTTTTATAGAGCGTATTGACCGGTGCTCGATAGTAAGACGGATATTCAGGACGACTCTTCCATAACGGTCGAGTGTCGGTCATGCTCTCGAGAGAGAACCCAGTACGATATTCCTGGGCGACCAGTTGGTCTTGAACGGCATGTAATTGCCGCGCGTAACTGGGAGATGGTTTTCCTGCAGGAAAACCCCTGACTGGCGGTGCCGCGAAGAACTCAATATGATTAACATGTTTTTGTATGGTTTTGTCGTTTTCGACTGTTTTTGGCTGTAGAATTTTTGTTTTCTGAGAACGCAGCTGACAGCAAGAGGAAGAAGAAAGAGATATAATCGATTCGGAAGGCGGTGATTCAGGGCAGAGGATTGAGACCTCAGTAAACAACACCGGAACAGGGGATGACAACACGCCTACATACCCTGCTCGTCGTTTAAAGAAGCGGAGTCCTGGGGCCACAGTTGATTCTCGAAGATAGATCCGCCATCACTGGGACGATAAGCAATGAATGAAGTGTATCGCTTACGGCCTTCATTAAAAATGGTGCACATGACTCGGCCATCTGTCATTTCCTCAGTCCGCAACCCTGCGTTGCTTGCCCACAATCTGCCAAGAAGCAACTCATTCGTGGTATTATCCGTCACCATAGTATGGGAATTGACCGTAACGCCGCTAATGGTGATAGGCAACTGTTCAAGACATGCTGCAACACTGATTCCACGACCTCCGTCCACTGGGGTGAGCTGAAGATGAGGCTTGAGTCTCATCTCGGGCAACGCGCTCATACGCTTAACCACCTTTCGATGGATAATGTTGACCGCACTTCCTGTATCGATCAATGCCTTGATAATCTGGTCGCCGACAACCGCCGTTGCATACATAAACCCTCGCGTATATTCCTGGTGTGACTTTATAGGGGCCTCGATAACCTGCGCAGTTTGGAAATTGACTGAAGAACTAACAACCGGAGGAACTGAAGCATCATAATTAGGACCTGACGACATAAAATGGGAACGAGCTCTCTTCTGCAATTCCTGAACCTGGGCATCGACGCATTGAGATAGATCTGCAGCAGTAGCATTAATGGGCACTTGGTTGATGACCTCGGTAAGCTTCTGACTTATAGCATCTGTGCTGATATCTTTTCCGACACCAGCTCGAATACGAGGAGCAGCGCCAAGGAGTTCACCAATAGAGATCGTAACGCTAGTTTCCCAAACCTTCCGCAGTATCAGGTCGGTAATCATGGACCTTTTCTCAGCCACAGCAGGATCCTGCGGTCCTCTGACCCGACGCGGAATGTCATTCGGAGATGGGTTTCCTGCCGGAAAACCTTGCAGCGTTTGTTCCTGAGAAGTTCCCTGGGTGTCATCTGGTACAAGCATTGGTTCATCCTCATTAGCCTCCTCAATACGCGGTTGAAAACGGCCTTGCTGAGCATTCCTGGTACGCGCGTATTCAGACGCGCGCTGTTTTCCCTTTCTCACACGACCATCCTGGACCTGTCCTCCGATAGCATTAACTGGACCTGTCCAATATTCCTCTCCATATTCTTCCTCATCCTCTGACAGTTTTTCCCATGCAGGCTCAGATCCAAGAAGGGACGCAGCAACATATCGAACCGGAGCAGAATAATAGTCATGACCAGAGATACCATTGAGAGACGCGCCTAGGAACTGTACTGGAGCAGAGGGTATCGATTGGACATGATTGCTTGCAGATTGCTGTAGGTTTTGGTTTGCCCATGCAGCATATTGTTCAGGAATCAAGTCTTTCCTCAGAACCCCTATTCGCAGTCTCAGTTCCGGGCCCGGATTTACCTTGGTTCCTGAGAGTCGTTCGACCAGTTATCTCATTCCGGTGGATCATTCCCTTTGCCTCGAAGTCCCGGATAGAATCACATTGATCGGGGGTGCTGTTGTGTGGACCTCCACATGTCCAGCATTCCCTAGGAGGACCGACCCCCATGCCATTCGACGGTATACCTCGGTTTTGTTCATAAAAAGGGTTATTCCGGCGATCAGACCTAGCATCCAGTTTCAGCGCAAGAGCTTCCAGTTTCCGGGCTACATCGTCAATTGCTCGCGAGGTAGAGTCATCAGCTTGTCGATCCTTGGGTAGAACAACCGGGATAGCAGGTACGAGAGGAACAGAAGAAACAGACTGCTGCTGCAGTGACGAAGATACATGGGGAGAAGGAGACGATTTCCTTGCAGGTTCTTTTATCTCGGTCTTTCGCTGAACTTCAGCCTCAACGCGCAGGGTTGCTTGCACCTGTTCATAGGCCGTCTGGTAGGAGATCTGATCACGGCGAGAACGAGACCTCTCTGCATGTCGCTTATGAATCCTTTTCTGCCATTTTATTGGAAGACCCTTGATAAGCGTGCTTGCTCGGTCAATATCACTCAGAAGACCCAGCAACGATATTTCCGTGGATACTTCATGAAACTCGCTCAGATAATGACGAATCTCATCATTTGTCGAACGTTCAATGGCAACAAGCTGGTCGAGATATTCCTTGGTATACCTCAACTGCTCATCATCCCAGTCATGGTAATTGTCCAAGAAGGCCTCACGAAACATGCGCCAATTCCTCGTTTTCCAGGCATAATGACCTTCAACCCAGACACGCGGCGGTCTTTCGCAGTATTGGGGGAGGAGATCCATAATTTCCTTATGACGGACAATACCACTGCGACGACAGGTATCCTCTAGCTTTCTCAGGAAATCAGATGCATTGGTTTCATTGAAAGCAGGGGCCCCCTGGGATCCTGGGGCTGGCATCGCGCTGTATATCATTTGATATATTGGTCGAGGCGGCGGAACAGCATAGTAATGAGTTGGTGGTACAGGATCCCGCGAAGGTATTGTCGGCGGAGGGGGCGGAGGTGGTCTTGCAGTAGCTTCCTGAATTACAGGACTAGCAGGACGAGAGGGTTCACCAATAGTCGATCCAGAAGCTTCAGGAAGCGGTTCGCGAAACTGAGTGAATTGTTCCGCGGCGGTAATGGGTGCAGCCATATCGCCAGGAAGTTCACTGTCATTTCCACCGTCATTGATAGCCATGGTTTCGGGAGATCGTTTTCCTGCAGGAAAACGAGGTGCCGAGGAACAAGAAGAACAAACAGATGTAGTATCAGAGAATGAATCAGCCTGACAAAACGATTCCGAAGTAGAAACAGAAGTAGATGAAGATGTAGACAAAGAAGGGGATACAGAACGGGGAACAGGGGACTCTGTACTCAATGGTAATAATAATAACGACGCAGCCGTTGGCGATTGATTCCGTTCCGACAGTGATCCTTTTTCCAATAAATAACGTAGCGCAAATGACAACAGAATATTAGACAGCGCTGAATGCCAGACATAGCCAATGCCAGGACATCTCTGAATCGCTATCTTATGCAATTGACCCGGTGTCATTCGTAAAATGCCTTCCAGTGTTATGGCATCTCCCGTGTGCCAATCAGCGAGCGTTGATCGTAAAAACTGCACATATTCCGCAGATAGCGGCATTTCGATAGGCCTTTCGGCTGACATTTCGAACATTTGATAGGCTGATCCTACCTAGGATCAAGCCGCTCTTCACCCTTTGTGATATGTTCGAATACCGTCGTATTCTCTCAGGGTCAAACGCAGTACCCACTTCTCACAATGATATTGCTCTTGCTTTCAGCCACCCTTTTGTTAATCGAGCCTTCCCGGGGACGCCATATGTAAGATGGGAATGCTCGCTGGCAGTCTGTCAAGCAGACGGGTCGATCGCGAAGAGACAAAACCACCACACTCGCAGAGTGCAGGAACGAGATGAGCAAAGCGTGACGCTATAGAGAGATGATTGAACGAGCAATAACAGAACCTTTCATACGCAGTATATCGATACCGCAACCTCAGCAGCCTCAGTAGAACATTTTCATAAAGGGGAACATGCATGTTGTTTTTGATAGTATCGAACGAACGCTACTTAATCTCACGAAACAAAACGGTGGCCTTGTTGCTAAGGCCTCCAGCACATGACTACAGGATACCGATGTTGAGAGCGGGAATCCCCATTACACTAGATACTATATCCCTTTATTATCTGGTTAAGAGAGAATTCTAGCTACTCTAGAACCTAATATATTAGTTTTAACTTAGATATATTATTTAGAATTAAAAAATTATAATAGGGATACTTTTTTAAAGAATCTAATAAGAGCTTAAAAAGTATTCGTTTACTCTTTATTTAGTTTAACTTCTCTAGGTTTTTTTTCTATTTTTACTTTCTTTTGGTATTTCTATTAGAAGTAAGGCTATTAGAGAATAACTATAGATAAATTAATAATAGAAATTACAGAATCTAAGAAAGACTTATATCTCTTAGTAGCTTTTAGGTTATTCCTAACCTTTAATTACTATAACCCTATTTTTATCTATAGAAATACCTTAGTTACTAATAATAAAGTCTAAGAATTTAACTTTTAATTAGTAGAATATATATTTTAATATTTTAGTAAATAATTAAGCTCTTCTAAGGTACTTAAGAATAGTTTAGATATAATCTGTATATTTATTATAGGTTTTTAAAAAGATTAAGATATTATCTAGATATTGTAATGGGGATTTCCGCTCTCAACATTGGTACCCTAGGGTCAGGTGACAGAAGCCTTAGTAACAAGGCTTTTGCTTGGTTTCAGGAGAATAAGTAGCGTTCGTTCTAGATTATCAATTGAACATGCATGTTCCCCTTATTAAAATGTTCTACTGAGGCTGCTGAGGTTGCGGTATCGATATACCGCGTATGAAAGGTTCTGTTATTGCTCGTTTGATCATCTCTCTATAGCGTCACGCTTTGCTTATCTCGTTCCTGCACTCTGCGAGTGTGGTGGTTTTGTCTCTTCGCGATCGACCCGTCTGCTTGACAGACTGCCAGCGAGCATTCCCATCTTACAATATATAATATATATAATATCTAGTAATCTCTATAAGGCTAAGTATATATAGCTTAGAAATATAGCTAGTATATTTATAAGGCTAAAAGATAGAACTATATATTTAAAGTAGCTATAACGGATTTAGAATATAGTTTTCTATTCTTCTCTTTCTTTAATTTAGATTCTATAGTAGGTATCTTATATATTAATTTTACTAATAATTTTAGCTTCTAAAAGATAGTATTAGTTGACACGGTGAGCGGGGGGCCAGAAACGGCCGCCATTCGCTCCCCGTTCTGCCCTTAGTGACCGCCTGCCCTAACCCGCAGCGGCCCTGCCCTTTCCGGTATCGCGTCCATTGTTGTCGCCCTGTTTAGTTTAGCGTTGCAGTGGCCGCTTTTACCGACCCAACTCTGCACCCGTTTTCTATAAAAGGCCGCTCGTCCTCATCTGCACTTCTCCCACGCACCTTCATTTCTTCCAGCCCTCCCGACATGACTGAACCCCCTTCCTTCGCGCCCCACTAGGGTCAAACGAGTTGGGTCTGGTTGCCTGATCCCTTTAATTGATCGGAGATATCGCATAACCAGGAATCCAGCTCGTTTCGGCCAGCTTTCGCCGTGGCTCAAATTCACGCTTCACGCTTCACGATCTTTGCGGGATGGATATGAATTTTCAATCGGTGGATTTTTTGCTTTATTCTCCCTTGACCTTACTATGAAGTTTTGGCTTCAGAAAGAGCTTCATCTCTAGACTGCTGTCTCGCCCTTCGGGCTGCAGGCGTCGATGTCGCGATATCCTCGCCTCATCGGTGTACAATGGATTCGGAATCTTGTCGGACATGCCGCTGGACACTGCACCGCTCTCGCCACCTCGAGGTTGCATTGCACTGCCTCTCCCCACTGTCTTTCGTGAATGCCGTGAGACCCGGTGGGCCTACAATTTCCGCGGCCCTTCGTCCGGCTAATGTGCGCCGCCAATCATTTCATCTTGCTGGCCGTCTTCACATGAAATGATGGCAAAAATTGCCGCATTTGTATCCAGTGGTGAATTTCAGGGTTGAAGGGCGGGGCGGTTGCCTTGATTCAGGCAAGGCTACGACAAAAGCATGTTTTGGGAAACGGGGGCGGACATAGCGGACATCTGGCTGCAATGCTCATGCTTCTGAGTGGTATGTGAGCTGGCCTACGACATTTGGTGGATCAAATTTATCAAGACAATGACCTCTTGAGCTGGTGTATAAAAGGAGCGCAGCACCACCACTTTGGCACTCCAGGAAGCCCAAACCCTTCTGCCCAAATCCCCATCCCCCCCTCCCCCCTACGCCAGAATATCCTTTCCCACCCTCAGTCCCCATTCCAAAACCTCAGTGCAGTTTGCTTTCCTTTTCTCCCGCTCTTTTTCCGTTTGAGATATCCTTTGAGCCACCCACTTTGAATGCTCTTTTGTGCCTGACTGAAAATGTCTAATGAATTGTTTCGTTTGGAATCTTTCCGGCCTTGGAATCCCAATGAGAAGGCATTCTCTCGGCAAGGCCCTCTGGATGTTCCTCGCTACCCAAGTCCTGTCTCTCTCAACGTCACGCCATCTCCAAACAATCCAAAGGACTCGACACTCCATTCCCGGATCCCTTGCACCCCGCAGCCTGAGCGACATCCCCTTCCGGTCCGCCCACCCTTGAGGCTTGCGTCAATGGGGCTTCACAATCTGTCGACCAGAATCACCAGAAGCCGGATTTGAGTAGCCAGATATCGCCTGGCAATCAAGAATCGGAAAACTTCGAATTTGAGGAAATTTTGCATTTAGAGAATCTACCAGGCCCCGAAGACATGGATGGTCTAATTTTTGATTCCGTCGATGAGCATATCGAACAGCAAGCCCGCATTGGATCATGTGAATTCGACCCTTTCTTCACGCCCGATCAGCTTTCTCGGTCTATGGCATTCCAAAAGTCAACCCCATCAGAGATGGAAGATTCCGCAAGTGATTTGACCATAGATCCGGCGATGTTGGAGGACCAACATTACCGAGCTGGAGAACATCAGAACACCATAGAATCTGCACCTACTTGCACAATCCGCCAGGCAGGCTTCACCGCGGACAATCATTCCTCGCATACAGATAATGGCAGTTCTCGTGGCAGACGGTGTCACTTGCCGAAGGTGACCGATCCTGGACGGCGGTCTTCCAAAATTCAGAAAGTCTCGGTCGTCATCAGCAATCGTCCAAAAGAAAAGCACGGAAAATCGACTCAACGCCCCGGTCATCAGGAAGCTTCATTGTCCACAATTCTTGCGCAATTTTCCGCACTTAAAGCGGAGGATCGACTACAATTCTTGTCTTGGCTGTTTGAGAGTGCATTGTCTCGCTGTGTGCCTCGCCCAGAGAAAGTCAACACGAATTCACGATCCATGCCAAGTGACAAGGTGACTTCATCCCGGAATCAAAATGCCTCAGCTAACTCATGCTCATCGCGAAAACGCCTGCGTTACTCTGCGGAGGAAGATTGCCTATTAGTAAAACTCAAAAAAGAGCAAGGCCTCCCATGGGAAGAAGTAATTCGGCATTTTGACGAAAAGTACCCTGGGAGGAGTCCGCAGTCTATCAAGGTGCATTGGAGTACAAAACTATCCAGGAAAAAGTCGTCTGGACTGTGACTTTGTGATTGAAGGCCTTTGACATGAACTTCAAGCTGGCCTTATTTCTCAGTCGCTAGAGAAAAGCTGAAAATGCTTCGTTCGGTGTCAAACTTTTTATGAAGCTGCATTTGCAGTATCATAATACATAGGTGAACTTACAAACCAGTGGGATTACCCAAATTTGCCCTTGAATGATGTATGATAACCTTGCGTTCGCGATAAAATTGACATTCCAGAAATAGTAAAGCCATGATTGATCTAGACCCTTCTTGAATGTGGATTCTGACGGCGAAGATCGATTCAATACTACAGTCCGGTATGCCACTACAATTTGGTGGATTTGGTGGATTTGGTTAGTTTTTGCATCTCAGTTAAAGGGAAGATCACGTAAACTGGGAGCAATTGTATGGCTATATCTCTGTGATTGTAAACTCATTTCTGTCCCTCATACTAAGATCGATAACAACCATATCAGCAAGTATTATAATATTTAATCAATATGAAAGCATCATGTATAACTCATATATCCCAAGCGGATTCAGGGCCTACTCAGGGGGTGCTTGGATCGTTGGCCAGGTTTCAGATCCTCAAGTCTCGAAGCCGCAAATCTCTGTCCCTTATATTTTGATTTCTATCGTCCACATTTTTTTCTCATCGGGCTGGGGTCACCCCATCTCGACTTCAGCCTAGGCGAAATCTGAGTAGATCCAGACCTAAATGACGGAATGTGTTCTAGTCAAGCGATTTCTACGAAAATATGGCATTAAATACGTATATGAGGCTAAATAGGTCCGTTCACTTGCATTATGCGACGTAATAGAGTCAATCGCATCGAGATAAACTCCAACAAACCTACCAGAATCTACCGTCAATTACAAAGGCTTTTCTACGGGCATGAGAATTGAAAGTAGCTTTCAATTGATAGAATCACAAAAACTAAAGCGGCAGCCCTCTGAATATTATTTGAGCCTGATATGGGATGTCATGCTCAAACGCATTACACTCACTACTAAAATATGAAAATCAACGGTAACACAGCAGCTCTTTTCATGTGCTGCTTTCTCGGACCCAAATTTCTTCCATTTCTTGAAGAAAGTATGTCAATCTGATGTTTGAAGAGTACCTGATCGCTTTCTTCAAGCTTGGAAGGTCTCTGGCACGTTTATCACGGCAAAGAGCTCGCACGATTGCTTCATTTCCTTCTTGTGCTGCCAGTTGAAGCGCTGTTTCTCCAAAACTGTTTTCGGCCTTGCAGTTCAGCCTTTCATCTTGGAGCAGAATTTCCACGATTTCTAGATTCCCGCTTGACGCTGCCACTGACAATGCAGTGCTTCCAAGCAATGTAGGCGAGTTGACATCGATACCACCACACCGGCCAATCAACAACTTCGCGATCTCAGTATGACCATTTTCGATTGCGATGAAAAGAGGAGATTTGTTCCAGACCGATTTGTCGAAATCGACATCATTGTGGTCAAGAAGCCGACGTACGATCTCCATATAGCCCTTCTCACAGGCATAGAAAATCGGCGAGGCATTTCGAACATTCAGCGCAATATCTTGTCTCGTGAGAAGTACCTCCAGCAATCGTAGACTGCCACTTAATGCAGCATAGGTGATGGGAGTCCAGCCGCATCCGTCCCGAATATTCGGATCTAGGCTCTCAATTTCGAGGAGAACACACACGAGCAGAATATTGCCATTTTGTACGGCATAATGAAGGGCCGTTTGCCCGTGTCGGCAGGTCGCGTTGATCTCAGCTGACTCCTCGGATAAAATTTGCATGGCCGCAGACTGTTGATCCTCACGAATAGCAATACAGAGAGGTGTGACTTCGTCCGCGTCACGGGAATTGATTTCGATGTTGGGAAAAGCTAATAAAATCTTCACGGTCGATTTGTGCCCATGCTTTGCGGCTAAATGAAGCGCTGTTGCTCCCCTTGTATCGGTAGCATTAATAGGTATCATGTTGTAATCGAGAAAAGTTTGCAAAATATCACTGTGTCCTTTTATGGCTGCTTGATGAAGCAAACTCTGACCCTTTCGGTTCCTGATGTTGAGATTTGCTCCGTAGGAAATCAACATTTGGACCATTTCCTTTGACCCTTTGCGCGTGGCAATAAATAGCGGATGCTCACGGCTGCTTGGGCCATCCAGGGTTGCCGCTGAAGGCTTCGTTTTGACGTGGTCAAGCAGTATGGTAAGAATGGTACTGTTCTGATTCAAGATAGCTAGGTTAATGGGGTCGATTCCTTTGCAGTCGGCTGTAAAAGTGTCAACCCCACTTTCCAGGAAGGCCCGAACCAAATCCTTATCCTGATGGGCCGTAGCATACCAGATCGCATTGCGGCCCTTGCTATCCCGAGCAGTCACGTCTGTACCAGAGCACCCCAAAAGATCTCTGACTACAGGCAAGAACTTCCTTTGGAGGGAGTACAGTAATGGCGTTTGCTGATGATCATCTCTCCAATTGAGATCTGCCCCGCTCTTGATCAAAGAACGAATCATTTGATACCTTTCTGTTCGAATACCTCGAATATAGAACAGCGGTGTCCGAAATCTATCATCCGTCGTGTTTGGGTTTGCTCGATACTCTTCGAGTAGGGTTTTCGCGAGTTTCGATTGGTTGTGCTGGATGGCCCAGATCAGAGCAGAGCTATCCTGGCAGCGGACATTGAAGGCGTAGAGAAGCGGTAGGAATAGAAGACTTGATCGTTTATTCAATTTTGCCATTGAAAGCAAATCCGGTGAGAAATCTAAAAAGTCTGCTAGACAGAAAAGTAGCTCTAGGGGAAGAGAAAGGAGCTTCATCTTGTTTGTTTAATGATAAAGCTTGTTGGATATGCGGAATACGCCACGTCGTTCGCTGGAAGCGGCGTAAGAATGAACATATAGTGAACAGTTTATCGAGTGTCGTAGCTAGGCCTGACAACTGCGACTCTGAATAAGTAGGGCTGTACGTGTATTTATTATATGTCATTGGAAATTGCAATGCAGTAGAAGCATCTAGACTTCCGTTACTCCTGGGAGCAGGGTTAGCTCCTAGGAACTATGCGTGCATTTTTGGGAAATTTAAATGAAAAATGAGACGTAGGTGGTGTTGAATTATAATATAAGTTGCTAGTAAGCTACCATTTTTTGGAACCCGCTATTGAAATCTAGTCTTGTTTATTTCATGCTGCCATTCGTACCTGGAAATATTCATGCTTATTTCAAAAAGTGGCGATTGTGATTCAAGAATTACCTCAATACTGATTCTTGTAGCCTAGGCCAAAGAAACAGAAGCCTCTTCAGCGCCGGCAATCACCCGATCATCATCTTCGATAAATAGCTCCAGCCAGAAAAAGGGCACAAAATGTTAGCCACATGGAGGCAGTGAAAGAGGGAGCAGAACCATTGGATATATTTGTAGGCAAAGCCGGGCCAATCGGTATGAATGTCCGTAAGCCAGGTGTGGTGATGACTGTCAGCGGCACGGTCGGGAGCGGGAATGTTGGAAGGATCAATGTTAAAGGAAGGTTTGTATTCTCCAGGTATTCGGTTTGCCCAGCATGAGATCCTTCGTGAGAAGAATCTGTTCGTGCATGATGAGCATTCGGAAGTTGTTCATGCTGGGCATCGTTTTGTACCAAACTTCTCACATCTCTACTTTTCGTCCATTAGTGACGTTTCAAATTTGTTTCCACATGCAACTTACTCGTCTTGCGTTGGTTCCTGCGTCTTGAAGCCTGACATGGAGAAGCAATATCGTAGCACAAATGGGAACTCAGGCGGGCGATAAATTTGTGTGAATCTATCAAGGAAGTTTGACCACGAAGAGGAGGACGGAGGATCCTGATGATACAAGAACTACTTATTTTTATAACTCAGTCAATTGAAATTGAAATTGAGTGCCTCTCAAAAAGAAGGGATCTCACCATATTCGGCTTTCGAAATCAAGTGTGACGAATTCACAAAGGTGCGGTCCCCTTTCCCATAACTCTGATCAACAATCTCCCTCTTAATAAACACGTTGAAAGAAATGTACAAATACCACCTACAGTCTCATTATACTGAAATGTATTCTTGATTAAAATGGTTACACACGCGATTTGATCTGAGACGGGATGATTTTGGCCTTGACTGCCAGGACGCTGTCTTGGACTTTTGGCTAAAAAGTGCAGATCAATCTTAGAGGACTTGACATAGTTGGAGAAGATATTCCAACATATTCTCCCAGGAGGTTATGTATATAGTTGAGTGGAGTAAATGCTTCGACTTTTTCCAAAAAATCAAAAAGAATATAAAACCAAATATTGATGATTCTTGGAAACCAAACACTAAGTCTAGTACGACAGCGCGACAAAGGTCAAAGACAGTGGGTGATGTGGTTACTCTACAATCAGGAAACTTAAATCAATTCATGTATGTATAGGTGGCTATGAGAGATCAATTGATACGGATTCTAATTTCAAGAAAGACTGCTATCTATCTAACTCACTAACTACTGTTGCCTCACTCATTCTTTGATGTTCAAACGACTTAACAAAACGACGCGGTAGATCAAAGTGTAAAACTACAATTACTTCGCAATTAACGGACAGGAATGGGGGTATTCTCTGACTTGTGGCTAGGACCGTCTCCAGAGCTTCTCACGGTCTCCAGATAGACATCATAAAGCGCTTCAAGCTCTACTTTTCGCTTCTCTTTATCTAGATCGCTGAGCTTTTCCCATTCGTCACCCTTCATTTTCTGCTCCATGAATTCCTCTTTGGTTTTGATCGCACTTTTATCAGACTGCAGATTGTCTGCCTGCCGCCGGAAGCCGTTGGGAGTTTCGGTTTTGATTTTGGCAGCATCTCGGTCTTGCTTTTCTTTTCGATCTTGTCGGTATTGGTCTATCGTCATGTCGGGTGGACAGGGAGTCGGCGAACGTTCATAGACGCTACGTCCTTGAGAATCAAACTTCGGGGCAACTCCCTTCTGATAATCTGCAAAGCGTTTCTTTTGATTTTCCCAGATCTCGTTCGTCTTTTCCT